TTGTTTTATACACCATTAAATGTGGTATTCTGCAGATAATATAACTTTATGGACAAAGTTAGCATCTTGAATGTTTGAAAATAGTCAAACTATTATCAACATCGCAGAAATTGTTATTATTTCTTTCCAAAGTATTTGGAAAATCTCTTGAAGATTATGAGATTATTTTAGGCAAATTGCATATTTTTCCACATGACAAATATTGCAAATCAGTACATCACAATTTTCAGGTGGATTTTATTGCTTATGTGTGTTTAAACTGAATGGATTGTACTATTAAATTTTTATAAGCATTCTCTACTTATGAAGAATATATTACTGTCATCTATACATGTGCTTTTAATTCATCTTTTTGTCAGCTGTGTCATACTTTTGTCTTAATAACATCCAAGTGATGCAGAACACAGTGACTGAGCAATATCTTGGGTTTTGCATAATGATAATTAGGTGAGAACCCAGTGTCTTGGAAAATGGACCTTTTCATACCTGTGTGAGTGTGTTTTAAGTAGAAGGCTTTTATGTGAACCCTGAATATTATAGTTGTGCTTGGAAATAATTATGAAAGTTCTGTTAAGTCGACTTTTTCCAAGGAAGTAAGGATTTGGCTCTCTATTCACACATAAGCAGAAGATAAGTCCCTGCATGGAAACCACTGAGGTTTCTGTTAAGGATGTCATTTGAAGGCTCAGCCACAGCTTACCTTGACAAAGGTCTGTGAGTGCTAGGAGGAGGGTGAAATTGCAAACACTGAGTGTCTGATGCTCTCCTGTGCTCTTGCCCACTAGGCAGCTTTGGCTGCTGAGTTCCTGGCCTCACCCTGGTGAGCAGAAGCTCAGAGTTAGAAGAGGGCCCTGCTGGAGGTGTGAGCACCCCCTGAGAGCCAGGCTGGAGTGTCTTCTGTGGCTTGGTGGGCATGGAAGGAGTGTGGCTTTGTTTCCTAAAGGGATCTGGCACTTCAGTTTGCATCAGAGCAGTCACAACAAAGAGCCATGAGACATGTTGAACTTTGATACATGCTGATGTACTGGTAGAATACAAGATTTAGGGAGATATTTTTAAAATGCCCTGACCTGAAATACATTTTCATGCTGAAGTCAGTAACAGCTTTGGTTTCATGTGGTTAGATGAGGTGCCTCCAGCTCCCCCAGATACTTGTGTTACTGGAGAATGTAAACACATACTGCAACAGCAGATCCACAGTGTGGGTACCCTGCTCCAGTATTGGCTTGCTTTTTTAACTTGTGGCTGTAGGACCCAGTCATCAAAAGGGGGCACCTGAAGGCTGGGATTGTTTTCTTTTTATAAGTATGACATGATGTAAAATTCGCTGTTTTCGGGGTGCATCCTCTAAGACTTCATGTAATGTTTTAGCAGCTACTTGGTAGAAGTGATGATCAGCACTCTCAGAGTTATGAACTATTTATAAAGGTAAATAAAGCTGCTTTTGGATGTTTCAGCAAGGGGTGACAAACCACTGTGCCACTTGTGACTAGCTAGAAGACTGTGGCACACTCTCATGGAACTGAACTGATTCATGCTGCTGTCTGAGCTGGATTGTTGTAATTCCTTTCACTGGATGGGAAGCCACAAATAGAAGGGCTCTGAGCACACAACGTGGGCTGGCAGAACACTGGGCCCCTGCTGCTCTGAGGGTGCCATGACTTTTCATAAGTGGATTCCTTTGCAAGGTTTTTTCCTCTTCAGACTTCATAAGTTTCTACTTTCTCATCCTGCTTTTCTGCTTGTGATGTTTTAACTGCATTGATTTTCCACTGAAGTGGGAGGGCTGGGCAGAATAGGGAACCGTAACTTTAATGGTGGTACTTGGAACTAAAATCTGTAACTCCCAGTGAGTTCTTTACTAGTGGGTAAGTGCTTTCCTTTTTTAAATGTGTCAGCTAAGTGCCAAACTCACTTGTGAACTCCTGCCATGTTTCATTCAGGGTTGGCAGGAAGATAACATGGAAACGGTTTTCAGAGTTTTAAAATGTTATGGGAAGGTGAATGCTTCCCAGTTGAATACTAAAAAGCTGATTTCTGTGCAGTTATGAAGGTCAGATTTTGCTCTGAGAGTTTAGGGAGTTAACTCTGTGCTCTGTATTACCGTGAAAATGTACCAGAACAAAGACAAATAATTATTCTGGATTAGTATTTGTAAATAGATGTGAAAATAGCTTGGTTCTGGTCTCTTTTTTAAATCTTGTTTAGTTTTAAATAGATAGTTGTTTGCAAAACCTTATAAAGCTAGGAGTAATTTCACAAGCTTTAGCAGTCCTCCATACTTTTCCATGTTTTTAACACTGTAATATAATTTAGGGACCATAGACACATTTTAAGGCACTACAGTCAAGACCACGATTGTAACATCTGACACTCTACTTCATCCTCTTTCCAAATAGAAGTGAACCCAAAATAACTCCTTGGCTCCTCAAATAGGTGAAGTATATTTGAAGCTCACATACTTGCTGGTACTCCCCTCCTGAAGTTATTAGAGTCCATAAGAAGCAGGGATGAGTGTGTGAGCAGTTGCAGGCGCTGGTGGGTGGGTTCCTCTTGCAGCTGTTCATTCCAGGAGTCTCTTTGTGCCACTGTCTCTTTTTTTTCATGTTCTTGTGTCTAAGAATGTTCTGCTGGTAGTTGCTTGGTATGTACTCCAGCTGTAAGTTAATTTTCACCCCAATGAAATTCCATGGTGAATTTTCATAAGAGCATGCTCCCTTCACAGCCTGGGTATTGATAAGCACCTGCTTGGCTAAGGATGTTTCGGGGTATTAGGGTGGTGCTGGCCTGAAAGTCAGAAATAGCTGACAAGGCTCTTTAGTTTTCTTTAAGGAGGCTGTGCTTTGTGTGCACATATCACTTGCCAAAGGTATTATTTTACTCAGCATTTCCAACCTTATTTTTAATCTTTTTCTTCCTCATAAAATGCGAATTTTGTGTCTTTTTCTGTAGCAGTAAGATTTTTTTTTTTGAGTGAAAACACAGATACTCCATATTCAACTAATTAACATGTTAAAAGCATACTGGCTTGATGATAGTTTTAGGCCATATTAGAAAACTTGGAAGTATGACTTTTTCAGCAAAGATAGGTTAAGTAAAAATTTTATTAACTCTAAAGCTTCATATAGTCTATAACAGGCTGAATGCAAGATCTATGGAAGAACCCCTGATTCTGTGTTGTTCTGGGCTGTGATTCCTTCATTTACACCAATTATTTTTTTTAACATATGTGGAATACATTTTAGTTTAGCAGCATTATTCCCATTTATATGTAATCAACCACATAACCCAGAGTTAAACTATTTAAAATCAGTCTGCGGATATGTTCCTGTTATTGAGCTATAAACTCACATATAACAGTAAAAGCGGCTTAGGCAAAAGAAGAGGTTGAAAAAAGGAGAGCCAAAAAATCTGCAGCCAGTCTATAATGCTTGTACTATCCTGGGTTTAACAGTATTATTGCAAGTTCTGCAAACTCTGAACTTTCACTTTTGTGAAAAAGTGATATTAGAAAATCATCTAATGTAATATTAGAAGAGAATTAATGCAAATAGCGAGTTAGAAATAGGAAAGAAACATCATGTTACGCATCTATTCTAAGCAGACCTCAAGGTAGTGCTTTACAAACCACAGTTTGCTTTTCTGTTCCAGCACTTCAGATTTCAGTATGTGATTGTTTCTTGACCAGCTTTTAAGCTCCAGTACTTTTCCTCTTGGTTTTAAGAGGTCAGAAGAAAGAAATAGTAAGAATGAGCTGAAAAAAATCAGACTGCTTATGAATAGTGGTGAAGTCGTGTTTGCAATTTGCCTAACTCACTCTAGTAAAATCTTTCTCCAAACTCTGAATCATTTTTTCCCTCAGTGAATATTCCCAAAGACAGATATTTGTTCTGTGCCGTTTTTGAGCTGTCATTCCAAGTCCATAACTAATAAAACCATAACAACCACCAAAGTAATAGTTAAGTAATGTGGCTTTGTAGCATTTCAAGTGATGAGTAAACCATCCCAGTAAATTGGCATTTGGCTGCTCCGCTGTGTAATGGAGTTTTTAGTGAAGTATTGCTGTAGCAACAAGCCTGGATGACATTGGGTAGCTGGTTGCTGCTGACTCTTGGAGATAAAACAGGCTTTTAGGAACACATGTGTAATGTCTGAAGGTAAAGTAACCCAAAATAAATGTATCTGCTCTACTGGGAATGTAGGATGGGTCACATCAAGCCAAAGTCTGACTTACCGACTTACGAATTTAATCCTTCTGTGAAAGTGTTTCTGTATGGTGAAAATGAAACAATCCCAGAAGTGCAAAAGTTGAAATCTGAGAATAAAGTGAAGCAGAACTGAGAGAAACTGCATTGCAGAAGATTTTAAGAAAAAATAACAGTTATTTTAAAGGCTTTAAGAATTCTTGTACTGTAGGAAATACTTCTGGATGTGTTATTTCAGTGATAAAGCTTTTTGAGGAAAGAGGATGCAGTGAAGATTTAAAGCTTCACTTGCTCTCTAGGAGAACCAGCAAGTGAAAAAAGGCATGAAAAGTAGAAAGTGAAGCAAATTCAAGTAAAACTAAAATGTGGTGGTGTTTTTTTTATTAATAAACTTTTATTTAGAAAAGTAAAAGTGGTGTCTGGGACATGGAGCAGTTTGTTACATAACACAGCCAAGTCAAAAACTTGACTGAGGATCTAGCTCAATGTAGCAAAGTAATATCATAAGATAAAGAGATCATCAGTAGTCTATAAAAGAAAGGCCAAAACCTTGGCCAAGTCTTTTTGTCTTCTTCCAGTTCATTGTGGATGATATTTGAAAATCCACTTTAAAGGCAGAAAAGAGAGAGTCACATTTATATATGTTAGTGGGTCATAAAAGAATTTACTCTTACAGTAGTATAATGTTGTGCCTTCCAAATGAAATACTGTGTTAAAGTACACATGAAACATGTTTTCAAGATGTAAATGGAGTTTTCTGATTGTCTAATAAACTTTTTTTTTTTAATTTTAAAGATAAAAATACAGACATTACTGTAAAGGATAATGGGGATGATTTCTGCCTTCGAGATACATTAAGCATTGCATCCACGGATTCCTTTGTTTCCACAGCTGAGGTAAGACTCTTAAAGATTGCTTTTTTAAAGATTTATTGATCTATTTCAACAGTGAACAGAAGAATCCTTATTTTTTGCTAATCATTGTAAGCAAAAATATATTTCTCTTGTGGGAGAAAATAGAGCTTTTCCAGGCTTCATTGGACCCAGTTGTTTTGGGTTTATTTTTGTGTACTGGCATAATGCATCCCCAACTCCTCCTAAACAGAAGTTGCTTTTGAAAAATAGATCACATTTTCATGAGTGAAGAAGCAGTCAGTTGAGGCTATAGTAGTTCCTTTCACCATGATTTATATTTTTCTGTTCTTTTTTCCTATTGCTTTACCATACTATAAAGATGTATGAAGAAGGCTTTGTGTAGTATAGACTTAGAGGGGGTTTTCTGGGGAGGAAATTATAAGAAGTTGACAGCTACCTGTTTTAGCACGTTCCATGCACAATATGAAGGCAGCAGGCTGAGATGTTGCTCTGTTGTTGCACTGGGATGAAATGACTTAGCAGGAACCAGAGGTCTGAGGCTGCTCTGGGGCCCTGGGCCGAGCTGGGGGAGCTTGTGTGGCCGTGTGGGTGTGCAGGGACCCCCCAGCTGCCTGCAGCCACCACGGGAAGGGACCTTGGGCTGGCAGTGACAGTCCCTGGAGGTGCCCTGGGGCTGCAGGGACCCTCCTGGCTGGCCATACTGGGAGGCTTCCTTGGCAACGTAAAGTGCCTGATCTAACTCGCTGTAATCCTGTGGGATAAGAGCACAAAGGACACGTGGTAATCTCTGGGTAACAGCCTGTTAGCTGGAGTCTGCTACAGCTCCCTTGAGGTGTTTGAAAGAGACTCATGAGCAGTGACACACTTAGTTGAATGAGGAATGTCTCCTTCTGTAGTATCTGAGGAGCTGAAGTGATCTTGAATAGCACTGTTCTCCAAAAAGCAGGAGAGGCAGCTGGCCTCAAAAGGTCCATTTTGTGATAGATATTGCTCTCATGTACACACCACAACTAAGCTGCTGAAGTCAGTTGCAAAAAGAAAGAATTGCACACACATTCTTTGCAGTTGTTTTGACTGTCTCTTATGGGGCTTGTTTTTCCATAACACAGTTACCTTGATTTAGTAATTCACATTAAATAGTGATTTCCTTGATTTAGTAACTCACATTAAGTTGTGGTGCCCAGCATTCCTAACAAGAACTGTATCCATAGAGACTGGTTTCTCTTTGCTGTAATTTGGACACCACCACAATTCAAGCTTGCTTCAGATCTACCAGCTCATGAGAGGAGCTGTAAACCATTATAGTTTGTACATTTTGTATCTGGTTTGGTTTTGGGGGATTTTTTCACCTGAACTTTCATAATGCTTTTGTGAGTATGTGAGGATGGGAACAACCCCTTATGCTCATTTGAGCTGCTTGGCTTTAAGGAAAGGCAAAACCAACCAATCAACCAAGCAAACAGAAACCCCAGGATGTATCAGTGGAATCATCATCCTCTGCTGAAGCTATATTGTCCCAGTGTCTGAAAAAAACCATTGGAATCAAAATTGGACATGTAATTGTCTTTAAGTATCCTGAAAATATTCTCCACATTTTGATACATCAAAGCCACTTCTGTCAACTTGTTCTTCCAGGATAAAGTTATTAAGATTCTCTCATCCTTTCCAGTTGTTCTAGCCTTTGCCAATAGAACAAATTCTCTTTTCTCAGATTTTATTGAAGAATCTAGTGAAACTCTTAGGTGACAGAAGTCCTGAAGATTAATAGAACATGAACAACTTCCACTTTGGTGTTTGAGCCAGAGCGCCATCAATGTTCTGGGTTAAGTGGGAGCCACTAGGCCTAAACTACAGGGAGTTGTGGCTACAGGGCATCATTGTGTGGTGCACGGAGAATAAAGCTGTGAATTGGTGTTCTGGTACAAAACCTCTGCTACCTTGATTTAATATTTTGTCCATCCTCAGGAGGGTGTGTGGTGGGGAAATGCTTCACCTTACAGCAATGAGAAGGAGCAGTAACAACTTCCCAGTGTATTCAGCTGTTAGCAGAGAACAGTAATTGCTTTGATTTAACAGGATTACAATTGACATACCAGATTCTTTTATTCTAGACATGATGACAAGTAGCTTCCTCTTGCTTATCTACTTCTTAATTTTTTTTTCTCGCACTAGGGAAACAGTGGAATGTTTTAATTTAGGCTAAGTGGTCTGAGGCTTTTCCAGCTTCGGATTTGTCTCACCTAAGGGCCAAATAAGGCAGTTCTTTCATCATAAGCTCCCTGATTGCAGTTACAATAGCAGTAACTGTCCTAAACTCCATGTCTTGATTGAAATGTTTAGCAACATTTTTAAATCTGAAATTCATATGTGTGATTATGCCCTACTGGAATTAATAATTTCACCTTCCAGGAAATTAGAACGTGGCGCCATTTTTTGTGGCCTCATCATGCTGCAAGCTCTGTGTTGACAGTTCCTTGGCTTCCTTCTACACTGTATCCTGTCCCAAGGAGCAGGACTAAGTATTTTGTGTGACTCTGATTTTGGAGACTGGAAACTGTGTTCATGTTTCAGTGCTGACACAGTCAGGTCAAATTTAGCTCCCTGGCCACAGGAGAGAGAACATTCATAGAACAAGACACAGATAGTTGCTTGAATGGAAATTGATAGGGATACTGCTCAGGAGGCAACAGGAATGTCGTGCTGTTATATTAGAACAAAATATAGGAAAGAGCTGTACAAAACTGGGACAGTTTGGCAGGGCTTGCACCACGTGCCCTTTTGATGAGCTCTACAGGATAGCAGGAGGGTGAGCCAAAACTTCATCTGGCTGTGGCTGGTGATCAAGAGGGTGCTGAGGATCACTCATTTGGTGATTTCTCATACACAGTTGTGCCTGTCTGGCAGCTACAATATACACAGGTGCCTGAATCTTTTTTAAAGACAATTTAGACACAGTTGCCATCCCCATGACCAGACAGGCTTCTTTTCTTAAACACACTTAGGCTCTGGAAGCATTGCAGAATGGGTGGTAAGCACAACTATTGCCCTAATTAAGTTATTAATACTCCTGCTGTGATAAATACTGGTATTTTCTTCCCCATTTGAGCCTGGCTGCCTTCAGCTTGTGTTGATGAGGGTTAGCATGCTTTTCATAGTCTTGCTTTCCCATCTACTGTGACCAAAATAGCTGCCACCTTTGGCAACAATGCAGCAGTGAGTGTGCCAGATAAAGGCCTCTGCCCTCTCTTTCCTGGCTTCTTTTCCATCTTCCTAACAGCACCTCTTTCCTGCTCTCCCTGTCAGTGAGCTTTGTTGCTGCTTCTGCATTGTCAGTGCACATGCATTTATCATGTCTCATTTTTGTGTTTTGACTAGTACTGAATCTGTAGGTGTATTATCAAATAAACTTTGCTTTCCTTAGTCCAAAGCTTGGGAGATTTTTTTAGACTTGTGAATAAAAGCTTTGCTGCTTTTTATCAGTAACAGCCTTCCTGTTTTCTTCCAGACGTTAGGTGGAACACACCACTTCATCATTTCAATTTATTAAAGTGCCATCTCAAAGGTTTTAGTTACTAATCGCCATCACATCTTCCAACTCCCCAAACATGTTTCACTTTCATCCTGCAGCTACTTACATTTTTAAGGAAATCTTTTCTCTGAATATTTATATTTTAAAGAGATCATCATCAAACTTTTTAATATAGCATAAACTTAATTTCTCAGAATGTAAGGAATGCTGAATGTGCCAGTAAAGTGACCTCTCTATTGGGGGAAGCAAGCAAGAATTCCTGAAAGGTCTAGCATTGTTTATTTTTGTTACATTCATGTAGGTGGTTATTTTGGTAGTCAACAAGGTCTTGATGCACAGCTGAGAATTTTTTCTGTTTATTAAGAAACAACTTGTGAGGGGCAAATGAGAGTACTGAGCCTGTTCCTTAAACCAAAGCAGTCAGAGCATCCCAGACCTAAAAATGATTGCAAGTGGCAAAGGCTGGATGCTTTAGAGCAATGATTTCAGCATCTCCTTACTGCAGATACAGCCCTAAAGCTGAACTGTCCAGAGAAATCTGATTGGCATCTGAACAATGTCCATGTTGGAGTCCTCAGAGGCTGCTCTGCAGCACAGCAGGCCTGATTAGACACAAGTTAGAACTACAAGCTTTGGAGTTTTGAAGAATGTGTTAATTCAATGTAATGATCTTAGGGCAGGCCATCATAAATGTCCTTTTGGTGGTCACCAACAGGTCTCTCTTTCTAAAGCCTTGAATGGATACAAGCAAAGCCTTATAGGATGAGATTGCTGCTCTAGTGTCAATCATCTTCTATCTCTTCTATGTCTGCATTTTCATTTTCTTCTCCCTGACACTGAGGAAGTAGCAGACACTTGGGGCTGGCACATCCAGTGCACCATCACCAGCCTCTGTGTTCCTGGCTGCTGCCAGCACTGGGGGTAGCTGTGACACAGCTCCTTGTCATCCCTGGAGGGGTGTGAGGAGCCTCAAAGTGGCAGTGGCTGTGTGTGCACAGAGGTGGCCACTACAGAATGGCAGGAAGGGACTCTGGGGGCTTTGAAGTGTCCAGCTTGCCTGTGATGCCAAGATGTTGGATGCTGGAGCTTTCTGGGAACTTGTGGTTAGTACCAAAGCCCTGGTGAGGAGAGTTATGTGGTGCTTAGGGGTACACAGTGAGTTAAAATCAGGTACCTCAATAAATATCATGAGCACATGGCAATTGATATAAGGTACTTACAGTGAGCCATCTAACTGAAAACCAAACCTTCTGCCCACCTTATCCTCAAAGGCAGCAAGTCACTAGAGACTTCTGCAATGAAGAGTTCATTTTCCTTTTGATGCCATCTTGGGAGGTTCTTGTCTAGAAAATGTTGTGTGCTCTGAATCCTGTTAAATATTGAATATAATTTGTGAATTTTCCTAGTAGCTGAAGTCTTCTACATTAGAATTGTGGATGTATCTTTACAAATCATCTCTAATGAGTTTTACTTTAAGCAGGATGTTTATATAGGCAAGCATTCACCTTATTTAATCTCAAAGAATGGCCCCTACTGGTTGCAAGATCATTTTAAGCATAATAATCTGTGTTACATCTCTATATTGTTACATCTATATACTTTATATGTTTACATATAAAATAGTGATATAGCAATATATTTCTAAATACTAGAAAGCATCAAAAGAAAATTTATAATGTCTCCATGAGCATTAATGGTGCAACTTCAGAGTCTGGATCACCTTTTCTAGTTAAACATTTAGTTTCTGGTTTACAGTTTGTTTGTTTTTTCTCCCCTTCACTTTTTGTATGCCAAGAGAAGTCAGTGGTAGAGGAATTTGCTCCCCCTTTCAAAATATTATTTGTTGGAATTAATCTGTAATTAAAATCATCTTCTCTGGGGAGGAACAGTTAGACCTTTCTCTCCTGATATTTTATTTCATCTGTTAGCCTGAGAGGAATTGTTGTTTTCTTTAAAAAAAAAAGCTAAATATAATCAAGGGCCTCACCCAATTCCCATGTATCAGTTCCTGTGCTAATCTGTGACCTCAAAGGCCAGAAACACAGAAACCTAGGAACATTGTTTTTTTCAATATCCATGCAGGATATTGAAAAAAAAAAAAGCTAGAATTAATTTTCTGGTCATTGACTAAACTGAATGATGTGTAAACATCAGATTTTTTTATTATTATTAATAATATAATGTAATCTTTATAGTGAAATTGTAGCTAGACATTGTTTTGTGGATTGAACATGATACCCTGTAAACAGGAGTTCTCTGTATTATTTTTGTGCTTTGATTTATGGATCTGTTTGTTTTCTTTCTTTAAAAATATCTACAAGTTCATGTTTATTTCTATGTTAGCCATAGAATTAACACTGACAATAATGAAAACCATTTAGGGAGCCTGTAGTATAAAACATTGAATATTCATGTTTTATACAGTATGTTTGGTAACTGGGAGACTTATTTACCAATGAGACTAAAACAGAGTGGAAGGATGTTACTATTTCCAGCTTCCTAAGGAATTGTATGGTGCAATCATTCTGTACTTTGTGTCCTGGCAATTATTTTCTTTTAACAGCTTTGAGACCCATTATGGTATCATTTATTTTAACTAGACAATTCAAAAACTTAACTATGCAAATGAAATACAGAAGTAAGCTGCCTTTATTTTATTAATTTAAAGGTTTTGAAACTTGAAACTGTAGCTTTCAGATTTTAGGAGTCGCAAAGTTAAGTCTTATGACCTGGTGTATCTGTTCTGTTCACTTGTGTAACTCCTTTGTTTAAAGCAGATGCAGTAAAGGATGCATCTTTCATTAGAACATTAGGAAAACTTCTTTCATTTGTTTTATCTTCTCAAAAATTATATCAGCAAGCTCTTTAGTGAACTTCCAAACATGTTGTTTCAGCTTTCAGAGCACAGAGAGATTCGTAGCACGTATGGTCTGGATTCCCTTTGCCACTGCCCCCTGTATGAAGAAGCCATGCACTTAGCAGAAGAGGGCAAAATTTATTCACGGGTGTTAAGGTATTGATTTATGTCTATTTAAATACTTCCAGGAAAATCAAAAATTAAAGTTCAATATTCTATCTAGAAATCACTTTTTAGAAATTATCTGTACTAGGTATTTTTTCTAGCAATTAGATTTAGATAGATATTCTTGTGCTGCTTTTTTTTAATGGTCTCTGAAAACTTTTCTCTTTGCACAGGACTGAAATGTTTGAATGTCTAGGAGACAGTGACTTCCTTGCTAAGCTTCATTGTATTCGACAAGCTTTTCAGGTAAACTGGAAGAAGTGATTTGTCTGTCCTGTTAAGCCTAACCTATAGCACTGAAACTGACTGTTACTATTTGTGCAAGCAGTTTTATAATGTAATCTGTATTTAAATATTTTCTTGTTGCTTTTACGTTTTTATCATTCTAAAATGAGATGTATTTGCAGAGGAGTCCAGATTTTATGATTAGCTTTGTAACCTTTGCACCAAGGCTTATTAGGAACTTGTTAACTATACTAAAGGTGATAATTAAAATTGATTGAAATGTTCAAGGTCATTTGGTGTAACCTGTGAATGAACCTGTCTATATTTTCTGAACCTTTTTCTAGATAATTCTTTCAGAAACATCAAACAGAATATTTCTTGCTGAAAGTGGAAGAAAAATTTTGTCTGCTTTAATTGTGAAAGCACGAAAGGTAAAATCCTTTTTTTACCAATGATTTGTTGTTTATGTAACTTCTACCTGAATTCACTGTCCAGGGGAAATCAACCATATCTCTTTTTACATTTGCTTGATACTCATTGCTTTTGCTTTACAGAATCCAAAGAAATTTGAAGATGTCTTTGATGAAATGATATATTTTTTGGAGCAAACAGATCACTGGGATAATACCGAAATGGAACTTGCTGCTAGAGGAGTGAGTTGCATTTCTGAAAAGTGTTTTTACCCTTACTAATGCCATAGGACCTAAAAATAATTTTTTACAGTTCAGAATTGTGGGAAAGGCAACTCTTTATTGTTTATATTGCTGATTTAGACAAATGGTATTCACCAGTTTAGTACCAGAAACTACACTTTTTTAAACTTCTCCTTTACTGACAAAGTATTTTTAATATTCCTTAAAAACAATTGCAAATCTGTAAATTACAATATGGTGCATGCTGAATTCCCCTGCTGAAAGAGAAACTAGGTTACTTAGATCATGTTCTCATTTAATATAGGTGAAAAATCTGAATTTTTATGATGTTGTCCTGGACTTCATATTAATGGATTCATTTGAAGATTTAGAAAATCCACCAATATCTATACAGAATGTAGTAAATAACCGCTGGTTAAATTCCTCTTTTAAAGAAACTGTAAGTATTCATGTGTAATTATTTTAATTGATCTGTAGTACATTGCAATGTACTACATGTATGTACATGAGATCTTCCTCAAAAGAATTTAAAAGATTGTATTATCAGGTTTTTCATAATAGGGATTTGAAAGTTACAAGTTGTCCCAAAACAGAGAATGATTGAATGTGTTGGAGAAAGTACTTAACCTTGTCCTTCCTTTCTCTGAGGGAGTACAGTTTTAGAAGGGAAGTTTCTGTTAGCCACATCTTAGACATCAGGTCCAGGTTTTGGTTCATAGACAGAGATTTAGCAATAAGGGACAAAGGTACAAGTAAACAAAAGTAAATTAATACAGTACAGGTATTCAGCTGTTGATTACAATTAATGATTTTTCATGTGTGGCTGTTAATTTGCCAGATAGATGTCATCCCTCTGTTAGAGACACAGGCTAGTGCCATGGTCAGCTGGTACAGAGACTACTGTCATTTCATCCATTTTCATCTGTACACTTCAAGTTTTCCTTTTAGTTTTGTTTTACAATTGAAATATTCCCTCTAGAGGAAAAGAATAAAGATAACATGTATATATTTTTGTAGTTTCATGGATACAGTGTGCTTTGTGTGTTTTAAACTCTCTTTGCAGTACTGAGGGGAGTCAGATGAGGATAGTCAGAGGCTGGGAGGGGGAAAAGCCCAGTACTGATGTTGGTATATTGTATTTCACAGTCCATATTTGGACAAAGCTCCATAGCTGAATCTGAAGCTATTGCAAGAATGCTTTTGCTAAAGTGAAAAAGTACATTTCAATGTGTTCACATGCCACTTAATATCTAAAATAGTTACTCATGTCTGAGCACACACTTTAATATACAAGACTGGTCCTCACTTAAACCCAGTGAGTGTTGCTAACTGGGGTAGCTGTAAAATCAGTCAAGGATGCCAAATTGCATTTGAATTGAACTAACAAAAATGTTGCAAAGATGGATCTGGAATAGCAAGTATGAAGTACATATAAACTTGTTATTTATGTCAGCTGCTGTTTTATGGTTTGAAACTTTGTGTTGTCACAAGATTGAAACTGAAGAAAATACATGTCCCTGAAATGTAGAATATAGAAATACAGTATTCTGCAGATGAGTTCTTTTGAGATGGAAAATTATTTGAGGCTTGCTTTATTTTTTTTATTTTTACAATTAGGCTGTGGCTTCAAGTTGTTGGTCAGTACTGAAGCAAAAAAGACAGCAAATGAAGGTAAGCTGCCTCTCAAATTATATGGAACAAAGGTATTGATCATCTCCTAAAAATTTGAAGTTCTTTTTGTAGCTTTGGCAAAATAAATGAGTGATCAACCTTTAGTCCTGTAGACTTGTTAATTCAGACAAGAAGTTTGCCTGTTGCAGAAGTTTAGCTCCTGGGGCCCTAATACCTATTTTTAGCAAAAAGCCTTAACTGAAAGGTTTTCCCAAACCTAGTTTAATTTCTGGTGGTGGTGGTGTCAGTCACTTCTCTGACTTCCTGCCCCTCATGCAGATATCAGAGTTCTGCACACCAGGGTCATGATTCTTGTATCTCACCTGCTTGTGCTGGGATTGTCAGCCCCAACTCCCACATGTGCATGACCCCACAGCCAAATCCCATCCAGTCCTGCCCTGTTCCCTGCCTGAAGCACCAGATTCCTCACCAGCACCAGGAATTCTGCTGCAGCCTCCCCTCAGCCCCTTTTGCATCCTGACCTCTCTGTGCAGGGACTCAGAAGAACCCAGTGCCACAGCTCCCTACCTTTGTGAGATTTTATTACACCAAGGAGGGAAGTGTTAGACTTTTATGAAGACTTAATGCTGAATAATAAAGCTGTATACTAAATTTACTGTGTAACTTTTGTCTACAATTTTTACATCCAAGGTGCCTGATGGATTTTTTGCACATTTCTATGCTATATGTGAACATATCAGCCCTGTTTTGGCTTGGGGCTTTTTGGGCCCTAGAAATTCGCTGTATGATCTATGCTGCTTCTTCAAGGTTTGAAACTTCTTTTTAATTACCACTTTTATAATTTTTTAAAATATTTTGGATTAAAATTACTTAAGATTTTATTTATTAGTATACATTTGCATTTTCCTAAGATTAAGGCTAACAGTAAGAAACCATAAGAAGTAAGTACTTTCATATGAATGTTTTAAGCCTGGAACTGTTTTGCAAAGGCTGTTTTAGCACACTTCTGTCTCAGCACCAAAATAATACGTAATTGGATGCTTTTTGGGAACATGTTAAAGAAAGAGCTGTTAGCATTGCATACTTTTTTTTTCCTTTTTGTAACTGAAAACAAGTTTTTCCTTTTTTTTTTTCCCCCCACTAGGATCAAGTGCTTTTCTTCCTCAAAGACATTTTTGATTTTGAGAAGGTGAGGTACTCAACCATGGAGAGCCTGGCCGAGGACCTGACGCAGCTGCTGATGCGGCACACGGAGCTGCTGCTGGCCTACCTGGGGGCAGACTCCCTGAGGCACGTTGGGGCCTGTGTCAGTGGCCACAGGCCTGTCCTGACCACGGGGCTCCTGGAAGCAAAAGTACAGTAAGCTTCAACCCCTGGCACGTGGCAGGGAGTGCACACAGATGTGCTCTTTTCCACCCTTTTCTACTGTGGCTGTTACTGAGCGAGCATCTGGGAATGCATCGTGTTGCTAAGTATGGAAAAGGACTCAGGGAGGTTAAATGTACATCTGTGAAAGGAACTGGGGAGTGTATTACTGTATATACCTAAATTAATTTTGCAGCTCAGCTGTCGCTGTATTTATATTTCATGTATCCCAAAGCTTTTTTCTGTAATATTCGGGTAAAGTTTATTTATGAAATACTGTACTTTTGCACAAATAATTCGTAAGTGAAGCTGATGGAGTTGTTTCCTTTAAAAGCTTATAGTACAAAATGTTCATTGCAGAGTCTCCAAAGCATTAGGTGTCTAGATCTAGAAGGTGTTTTGACTGGGGTGTCTGCAGTCTCTGATTCATGTGACACGTGCAATAAAGTAATCACACACACAGAACTGAACATGTTGCCCCTGCCCCAGAATTCCATTTGTGTGGGTGTCAGCAGCCATTTTGTACTACAGTGTGATGGAGCAGTGCAGGAAATGCAAGCACCATTTGGGCAGGAATGACTGCCAGTATGCAATTTTTACTTTATTTTTATTTAAAATGTCTAAACATCACTAAGGTGTTTTAAAATACTTCTTTATATTTGAAAAGCTAGCTTCACCAATTAATTTAAAACTTTCTTGTTCTAAAACCATTACTACTCAATATGGTGGTAAATGAACCAATGTTAATCTCAGTTCATATGTAGCATTTCAAAATATATTTTTAATAAGTATGTATTATAAGATTTATTAATAATGAAACAGAATTGAAGGCAGTGTTTTATAATTTAATAATTTGTGTCTTCCTCCCTTCTTTGTGGGAAGTCAGGTGTCTGTTTAAGAGGAGATTTGTGCAATTGTGGCCATCTCTGTGCAGTGTAAAACTGTGGCTCAGGCCATGGAACCCTGAACTTCAGACAGGAGCACAGCACCTTCAGAAGGTATGAGGCACCTTGCAGCAATGGCTTTTCCTGTTCCAGAGGTGATAAATTATGATGAGCTGTTATCCTTGAATTTCTGTCAACTGAAGCAATGCTTCACAGTTAGTTTAGGCTCTAAAACAGCTCTTCCATGCCTTTGCTACACAAAGCCAGCCCACAAGAATCCATCCCATGTCAAGAAATACAGAGTAATTCCAAATACTCAGATACTTGAGAAGCATGTTGTTAAAATCTGGGATATCAAAACAAACTTTGACTAGCAACATTTCAAATTTCATGTCAAACACAACCCAAAAGGATGCTATTCAAAATGAGGGCCTGTGTAATTCACAGATTTCACTGGAGCCAGCATTTTGCTCCTTTGTTGTACTCACTTGATAAATACAAAAAGTGATGAAAATGTGTCATATTACTTGTGTGAAATGCCAACTGATTATAGTTTATTTAACAGAAAAGAGTATACTCTATATGTAATAAACCAGAAATTCCAAATGCTATTCTTGGCCTATTTCCACTGTTTAACTTGCTGAGCTTGGCACCATCCTCCTTGCTGTATTTTTTTTTCTCTGCAATGTGTCTTCAGTACAGGCATGTGGAGTTTTTTTCACCCACCTCACTTAAGTTTTGAGAAGATAAATATGTTTAAGCTATGTGCATTTTGGCAGCTTTTTGCAAGTTATGAAAGAAATTATATTTAACAATAAGGGTGTCTTGTTGGATTCAAAATTGATAGGAATAGCTGGAAATAGAAGGAACAGAGTAAGTGTTCTGCATATTCTACAGCAAATGTATGACCTGTAGGTAACAGAGCAAAGTGTCTGATGTGATTTGTCTGGTCTAATAAAATTGTATGAAGAAAATTATACCTTAACATATATCATAAGGAAACAGAAATGCACTTCTTCACAGAATTAGAGGTATATTGAGACTTTAATATTATTTACAAAAAGCTCTTGAGGAAATGGAGTTGCAGATGAGATTATAAATGTTTCCAGACACTTGGAAAAGAATTAAACCTGGAAACTTGGTCTTCTGTCAAAAACAAAAGGATTGTTTTAAACAGAAAAGTCTAATCAAACACCAAACTATTTTGAAAATGGGGAGAATTTTATAATATCTGACTTCAGCATTTGTGTCCCTTTCAAACAGGAGCACTTCTGTACACTCAGAGCTCAAAAGTCCACAGAGTTGGACTGGAAATTGAACCAATGTATTTCCCATACAAAATAAGAAATACAGGATTTGGTTGTTGTAAGATGCCACCAACAAACATTTGATTGAGAAACGGTAAAGAAACCAAAAAAAGAAGGGGATAGAGAAACAGGGAAATGTCAGGGTACAGGTGGGAAGGCTTTTGATCTCCTCTGAGTCTTTTTCAATCTATTTCTAAAAAATCTATTCTGAGTGTGTAGCTAGCTCCAGAGAGATGCCAGTTTCAGTGGGGGAAGGCTCTGTCCTTGCAGCACAGAACTGCAGTCAGCTCTCACAGCCTGCCCCTTGAGCTGGACACAGCATTTGTTGATAACCAGCCCTGTGGCTAAAGAATTCAGAAGTGCACCATCTCTGCAAACACAAGTGCCAGAGCTGCACCACAGCAGTGATAGCATGATGCAGTTCTACTCTAGTTAATTCATGATCAGACTCAGAATTTACTTTATAGTGTCTAAATTTAGGTAGTTTTGAATGATACTTTCCATCCTAATAAGAACAAACTAAATTTAAAAGCCATCGTCTTCTTCCATAACGGTACTCCTAAGATTAGAAATGTTGAATGCATAGGGATTATGAAGAATCAAATATTTATATAATTTGTAATTTAGTTGTAATAATAATTTTACTTTAAATGTGTTCTTAATGATTATTATTCTTCCTTTTTGTAGTTTGGTTTCTGTCAAAGTAAATGTGTCAAATCAAGTGTCAGTAAGAGTATTCGTGACCTTTCTATTGCCTAAATGAACTGCAGCTGTGTATATAAAATAAAATATTTCAGTGAAACAACTGTTGCTCATATAACTGTATCTGAAACTTAAATCTGAACAGTTCTTGAAATCTAATGCAAAATCATTTAATATGGGAGGAATTTTGATACCAGTTAGTCATCCTGAAATTGGAGTTTTCTGCCTGCAATCAACCAAGAACAACTATTACAAAATGTACTATATAAATTTAAAAAAATTTTTTTTTTGGCTTTTGGGCTGTCCAGTTTCATTGTGTACAGCTGTTGTGTTGCAACAGCCAAGCTGTTGTCTCTCCACTTGTTTTTAGGAGATCAGTTTTTTCAGGCTTATTTCCAAGCCAAACTGCTGTACTGAGTTCCAGTTGCGGATTAAGACCTCCTGTATGGAGTAATGTAAATAATGAAATAGAGGACATAAAGAGTCTAACCCCTATTGCTGTGGAAGGGCCATGTGCCCGTGCTTTGGTCTGCCCAGATTTGTTTTGTGTGTTGCATGTTTATGTGTTCATCTGCTGACAGCGGGTGGGTCCCTGGCAGTCAGGAGCCCCCTCGCCACTCTGTGCTTCGGAACGGGGGTGGCACTGGGGCAAAGTGCCTGCTCTGTCCTTCAACAGGCAAACGCCTTTCGTGTCTGAGCTGTGACGGCCGTGCTTCAGATGTGCACAGCCTAAGGTCCTGTGCTCATTTTCCTAATGCTGATAACCCAGCTGAAAGTTGGGCTCCGGTCCGGCAGACACAATACAAGGGAGATAGGAAGAGCAAAGTTCTGCACTGGAAACCTTGCAGCTGAACACGTAGGAAAAAAGTCATCTTCAAGCAGGAAAAGGAATGCGTTCAGATGTAATAAAATCACGTTTCTGCCGCTGCTTTGTAAAGTTCCCAGCGACAGGCGCTGCTTTGAGCCACCGCGCTCTGCCTCTCGCAGTCTGGCACTAGGGAGATTCCTCCCCGCTCCATCAGCGGACTGTCACATTACTATTATTAGTTGATCGCTCTCCATGTGCCATTAACCGACCCGGCTCCGGACCGCCGTAGGTATAAAACCCCGCGGGCCGGCAGAGCCGGGGCAGCGGAGCGCTCCCTGCGTGCGGGGCCGGGGCTGCGGTGAGTGGGGCTGACCCGGGGCTGCCGAGCCGGCGCAGCCCCGCCGGGGGAAGCCGCGGTGCTTGGGACCAGCGCGGGCAGGGCGAAAGCGGGCGGCGGGTCCTGGTGGGGGCGGTGGGTCGCCGTGGGTCCCGGTGCACCCGCGGAGCCCCCGCCGCCGCTCGCCCGCTGCCCTGCGGCAGGGCCGGCACGGCCAGGGACGCGCAGCTGAGCCTCGCCGCCCCGGTTATTTATAGCTCGGTGCCGCTTCCAGCCCAAAATTAGCCTGTTGGCCGGGCTGCTGCCTGCGGGAGGGGGGCTGGCTGGCTGGCTGCGCCCCCCGCGCTGCCTGCGAGGGGCCGGGCACGGCGCGCCGAGCCGCAGGGCCGGGGACGAGCCGGGCCGGGCCGGGCCAGCTGCCGCGGCGCGGGGCTCGCCTGGAATGCGGGCGCCGGGCGCGCGTCGCGACTTTTATGGAAAGTTGCAGCGGCGGAGCGGCGGCCGCAGCCAAGGGGCGCTCGGCAGCGCAGCCCGCCCGCCGCCGGAGCGCCCCGAGCCGCAGCGCGGGCAGCGCACAGGTAAGAACGGCTCCGCCGCCGCGGGGCACAGCGCGGCCCGGCCCCCCCCGCCCCGCTCCCTTCCCCGCCGCCCCTCAGCCGGCCCCGCTGCCCCGGCGTGCGGCGGGGCTGGGGCTGGAGATGGGGCTGCCCGCGGCGCCCCTCGGCCGGAGCCGCGGCGGGAGCGCCGTCTCCTCTCGCTGCCGAGACCGCTCCGCTCCGCCGGCCGCCGGTCCGAGCACTGCCCGCAGGGCTGCGGGGCAGCCGCCCGTTCGCACCGCGGCCGCGGCGGGAGGGCCCGGGCCGGGCAGCGCCGGGGGCGGTGCGGCCGCAGCCGTGAGGGAGCGGGGCCCTGAGGGCGCGGGCCGGGCGGGCGCGGCCGCAGCGGTTTAACCGAAGGCGCCGCCGTGCGCGGGGCTCTGCCCGCCCGGCCCCGTGAGGCGGCCCGGGGGACGCGGAGCCCGGGAGGGCCGTCCCGCCCTGCCGTGAGGGACCCGCGGTGAGTGATGTGCGGGTCATTAAAGTTAGCTGAAAATCCCCGAAATCCCCGATTTTCGGAAGCCGTGTGTCTCTAGGCGCGGAGTTCAGTTTTGTTGGTGTGGTATCAGCAGCGAGGGCGTACTGGATGCGTCCATTGGTTCTGCTTCACTATGGAGTGATGGCTGTAAAACAGAGGGGCTTGGAAGAAATATTTGGCTTCTGTGACAGGTTGCAATTTAGTTATTATCACGATTGTTTTAGGTAAATAAGGGTTTCTTTTAAGCTGACAAGTATTGAAAAAAGCATGTTTAATGAAGCATGTTAGAGTTTCAAGAGTTAATCAGCAAATAGTTGCATGGTAGAAAACACTGTACTCTTAACCTTAGATCTCAGGTCTTAAGAGACATTAGCTCTCCTAGAAAATTGTCCAAGTAAACCAAATTATGAATTATAATTAGTCCTGTAGGAGGGCCAACTGTATCATCTAAGGAGCATGCAGAAGTATGACAACATGACTGGTCAATGCAGAAAGCACAGTCTGGTGAAATACAAGAGCTGGGTAGATGGCAAGACATTAGTAAGGAATACTTTGACTGCATTTGGAATGTATTAGATGAGTAGTTTTCTCAGTGAAAGAAGCCAGGCAAGCATTGGTGTGGTTATCAAGCTTTGAAACTCCTTTAAGGAGAACCAGTGCCGTGGTCAAGCTGGCTGAGGGGAGGCAGTGGGAAAGCTCATGGCACTGGGAGGGCGGTGCAGGAGGCAATGGAAGCAGCCCTTGCTGTGCACTGAGGGCAGCTGTGCCTGCTCAGGTGAGGGTGGTACACACGATGCAGCTTTTTTACAGGCATCAGCACCAGCAGTGGGGTAGGGCTGCTCCAGGGGAAGCAGCAGTGTGTCTCTAGGAAGCCCTGGAGACCTCTCCTTTGGGCAGAGGCAGAGCTCAGGCCATGCTCACTGTGGGTGACCAGCCCTGCTTCAGTCTGAGCTGGCCAAGAGCATTTCTGACAAGAGGCAGAAAGGCTGTGTCCTGTCAGCAGGGAAGATACAGATTGCAGTAGCACCTCGTGGCCAGCATTTGTGTTTCCTTGATCTCTGGAGTCCTGTCAGTGAAGTCAACAGAGCACTTGGTTCATCTTCAGCTGCTGGACACAGCGGGGAATGGAGGAACTCTGGTGTGGGGCAAAGTATCCTGGTTTATCTGGTGGAGACCTCAGTTCACAATTTACTGCCACTTCCATTCAGATCAGCAGATACCATGGAACATGAAATCATGGGCCAGAAGATGCCAGCAGGGCTTCCCCACTACCAGAGCAGTCTCTGAACCCTCACTATGTTTGCTCTGCAGCCTGTGTACCCCTTAACAGCAGAATAGAGCAAGGGATCAGCAGACCTTTTGTGCAGAGAAGGGTGATCACATTTTTTAACAGTTGGGCTGAATGGCACTGCTGCTTTAGGAGTGTTTACAGCTGTATAAAACATAGGCATCCTTTATAATATGCATGTTTTTATAAATAACACCCTATCTGCAAGGAGTATTCTACAACAAAATAAGACTCTCAATAAATGTCAAAGTGTGATAAATTCAAAGGTTGAGGAAAAGATTGTAAAATTATCTGGGTCACTTGTTGGTAAGCATTCTGGTCTTTAATTATGAAGGCTTAATGAAGGAAATACAAGTAAGTGGAAGTAGTCTTGCATTTTGTATTTATACAAAATGAGAAGTTTAGACAGCTGGTATTAATTGTCATAACTCATTGGCTGCAGTGGAGCTGATGGTTGATGCCAGCTCAGGATGTTCCTCTGTGCATGATAATTATAGTATCTACTTCAGTATCTGTAATTTGGTACAACAACTGGCAGTGTCATTCTAGAGCATTTACAGGCAGGACATAAATGATGGCCATTTCCCCTCCTCTGTCCAGTTCTGTTTAATATTTTATTAAATATTCCAGTGCTGTGGACTGTGTTTGCCTCTGCTTGGTGCTTTGGCTGCAAGCAGTGAGTTTCCAACTCTCACAGTTTGGTTTTCTTATATAATGGAGACTTCCCTGCAAGTGGATCACAAAGAGGGGACAGATGGTAAACGTAGCTGAGACCGTGCCATGAAGGGCTTATTTATAACCCACAGTACCCAGGAGGGGAGCGGGGGGCCCTTTGAAAGGAGAAATCACAGAGGAACTGGACCTCTTTTTCAAGTCCTGACTTCATACTCCTATTGTAAAGAGTGCTGTTTCGTTCAGGGAAATGATGGCATTTTTTGTGTCTCATGTGAAGATGTTTATCAAGCCCTTGAAAAACAAGATTTTTTTAAAAAGAAAGCAAATTTTATTATTTATGGGAAATTTTTTTTATTTTTTAGTCTGGCTAAAGCCGCACAAGTTTTTTTTTTTTATCAATTGAGGACTATGACCTGCTTTCAGAAATGGAAATTAATTAAATTTAAGGAGATAGATTTCAGGACTTGTGAGCCATCAAACTTTCTGCGTCCCCTAAATGGTTTTCTTTTTTTGCCCAAAGTAAGATTTTAGGGAGGCTGCATGAAAAGTTGGAAAAGTGCTGTGATCATAACAGGTCAAGGCATATCTGAGCTGATTGCTTATCCATTTACAGTAAATGAGTAAGGTGTTTGAGAGCAGTAATTTATATTTTACAGAACATTTCTGATCTGTTCCTGATTTCCTATGTATTATTGCTTTTGTGTTAAATTTTCACTTGAACTTAGAGAACCCTCTCTGCATAACAGCCAGTCAAATTAAGTGGCATTTTCTCTTTTTTCCAGTTCCAGAGTTAGGACCATTGACCACTGGGTGCAGGTTAAATTTTTCTTGAGGAGAGGACCCTTCAAAGGGACCCTGCAGTCTGGAACTTTCAGTATAAACCTCCTAACACCAGACTAACTTTATCAAAGATATGTCATTTAATTGTAGGAAAGATCAAATGTGGAGAGAAGAAAAAATTACACTATTTTCAGGTGAATGCTGGAGTGATGAGACTGGGACAGCAAAGGGTAACAAGCTGAATTTGTTTTTTGATCATGGTTATGTTCAAAATTATCATCTGGGATTCTTTTTGAGTGGGAAGCTTCAATGAGGAGCTCTTACAGCTTCTGCTGGGGTATGTTGATTTTGGGAAAGAAAAGAAAAGGTGAGACTGAATATTAAGGTTGGACAGCTTTGTAATAGGATAAACAGTTTCTGAAGTAAGGAGCTAAACAGTCAGGCTCGTGCTGCCTCAAAAAATAAGAATTGCCTTTATTAGATGAAAATACAAAACAAGAATACATACATATAAATGGGTGATTTAATATAACTAGTTCATCTCAAAAGGAAATTAGTAGGTCAAGGTTTCTTGGGTTGGAAAATCTATTACTGCATTCTTCTGCAGAGCTATTGGCAGATGATTTGTAGGTATCAGGACTTCCTGATGCAGCCACTTGGGTTTCCTCAGCACCACTTCATGGACTGTGAGCCTCTCCTGATGCTGAGGCAGATACAGAGGAGCTTCTCTCTGCAGTGGTTGTTCCTGAAGCTGTGGTCACTGCCTCACAGACCCAACCCAAAACTCAAGAGTGCTTCTTTTTTTCTTCAATATTTTGATTGTCTTTATTGGAAATGACCCATCTGGCCTGAGGGGTGCCCGAGGCAGGGTCCAGCTGCTCATCCTGCTCAAGGTTTATTGGCCATGCAGAGGGCTGGAAGTGCACACATGGGTGCTATCATGTTCAGCAGTGTGCTGGTGCTTTATATCAATATCTTTTAGCATCAGAGGTGGAGGTAGGATGACTTGCAGAGGCAAAATGCCTTAGAGCCAGCTGGCTAACCTTCAAACATATTAGAGTTAGTGATGCCAATGAACTGGAAAGTAGCCTAAAGTAATAGCAGATATGGCAGTATTCCAAATGGCAGAAACATATCTGCCATCTTGGAGGCCCACAACCTGTTGGACTGGCACTATTTTGGAAGTTCAGACAGCAGGAATTTGCAAAGAAGGTTTCTTCCAACATTTGCACTCCCAAGGAAAATTTCAGATTTGTTACCCCACTGTTGAGGTTCAGGTAATTGGAACTATCAGAAAGGTTCAAGACAAAGTCTTGACTCAGGAACATCTTCTTACAATTAATTGCACTAATAAACCAGACTTTGGAATAGTCGTTTTTCAGATGACTTTAAGATGAAGCCCTATCCATGGGGTACATTGCTGTGGTCACAATTTGTGATAACCTTACCTTGAGGTGTTGATGTGAGGTGGAATTCCTTGTGACAGATTATCTTTGAGTGTTCTCTGCTCCAGCCCCATGTCAAGGGTAAAATGTGTCTGTGTCCCAGGTCACTTCAGTGCAGGATTGCACCAATTCATGACATTCCTTTGTTTTCTGATGGGTTCCTGCAGTAAAGCTTTGAGTCAGCTGCTGGATGTTTAGTACAAGGCTAAAGGTTGACAGCCCCAAGTGGGGAAGGAGCCTTTAAATGAGCAGAGCAGCAAAAGAAGAGAACAGAGAACTTTCTCTAAGACCTGCTTTGAGAAATAAGGGAGTTAAAAGATTTGCAGTTGTTTTAAGGTTACACTGATCACAGTGGGGATTTTACTTACATGGATAGAAGTCAGCTAAAGCTTACAGAGCTGGGAAAATCCTGCACAGTGTACAAATGGATGGCAAAGCCTATGGAGACCCTGAGGCTGCAGAATGCTGATGCAGTAATCTGCCTTTCTAGACTCCATACACTCTAACATGCTACTGCTGACCTGAAATCTCAATAGGAACTGCTACTTGGTGATGATATGTTCATGAGTGAGAAACTGAAATGCCTTGGACTCCTATCAGTCTACAAATGAAGGAGTGGGCTGGGGGTGGTGTGACTTTCCCTGCTAACTGGTTGAAAGGGAACAGCAAAGTGCTCTCCAGAACATCCCTATTGAAGCCAAATTTGAAGAGTTTAGAACTTGTAAATCAGGGCAGGTGTTGGTAGCTAAATGCTCTCGTTTCATGTTGTGACTGCTTTCATTGGGAAAAACATCCCAAGATCTCTAAGAATCCCATTCCTTTTGTGTAGCTACAGCACTGCCAGCGAGCACTGGTGATGTTGGTGTATTTTTGAGGAGTTTACATGAAAAAAACTCTTACTATTAATTATTTTTAAAAGTGCATAAATATTTCTATGTTTATAATCTGTTTGCAATTAACACTTAGAGAATTTGAAAAATAAGAGCTTAACTTTCTATATCATGAAAATCCCTGACTTCAGCTCCCCTAAAGCACAAGTGAGAAGTCCCTTCCAGTGCTAAGCTGCTTTTCCAGAATTTTGTTGCTTAAAATCTTTGAGCCCCTTATTTGCACCATATTTGGCACACTGAGTTTAGGCTTTCCTGCAACTCAGAGTATCAATACAATACAACAGCAGTAGCACTGGAGTCACATCATGATTTCCTTCCTCCCATGAGCTCTGATAGACCTGAAGCTGAAAAGAAGAGAAAAAGAAGAGAAAGTGCCTTTCTGTTAGCTTCCTAGTATACAGTGTACTTTAAAATTTTGAACAATTTTCTTCTGAAAAATGCTATGTAATTTCCGGAACACAGCTAAATTATAGAAATGCTTTATCTGTACGTGGCTTACCTATCCCATTTCATGGTTTTTGCCGCTCCTTTTCCCTGGAGAAGGACAGCGTGACTCGGTACCGTGTGCCGGGTGAAGGCCGGGATGGCAGCGGGCGCTGCCCCAGCCCCTCTCCCCTCTCCCCTCTCCGCTCCCGCAGCCCCATCGCGGCTCGGGCCGGGCGGGACCCGGAGCTGCGGGACGAGCCCCGGGAGCCGCAGCTTGGCAGCGAGCAGCACGGGCAGCCTGAGCTTGGCTCCGAGTTTTGTTGTTTTTAAAATGGAAATTAGAACCCAATATCTTGGACTATATAGAGGAGTTATGAGCATGAATAGTGAATCATAAGCTTGTTCTTTTAATTACTGTGGCATACTTAGAACCTATTCATGTCTGCAAAAGCCCCAGCGGACCAAGTGAAATTGTGATCCATCAATTTCAGCCTATGCAAACTTATTTACAGGAAGATGGTTAAAGCATCATTTAAAAGGAAAAGAAAGGAATGTAACTACAACTGTTTCTTTTAGGTAGAAACTGAAAGCCATCTTAAACATACCAGGTGCAGAGCACAGTACAGTAACCATGAATGACATTGCACAGAAAACTGAGGTATGTACCAATTTTAAAGTAATCAAGGCAATGTAATAACTTACAACTGATGCTTGCAAAAGTAATAATTACAAATAATTGTAAAAGACAATTATACTGGAAATCTGCTGGTATTTTTAGACAATGAAAGGGGTTTTGTTAAGTAGCTTAAGATTTGATGGAATCTGTGAATTATGTTCTTGTTAGAAAAACACGAAGGAGGAGCGTGAAATATGGAAAAGGTTTAAATGTTGGTGGTGAAATTCTGGGCAACATTTACATCTGATGCTAAAATGTAAATATACTAGGCTACTTCAAGTATTTCCTCTTCTACATAGACTTACTGAGTAGCAGGAACAAAAACTTCTGGTGTAGCTGGGAAAATATGAAACAAAGCATGTTTTTAGCCAGTTTTCTCAGTATTATTTTATTGAGAACATTCCCGTTGTCATCACTGTAAAAAGACAAAACTTCACAGTAGCTCTGAAAGTGGGAGCCTTTGGTGGTTGGACATCCACAGAGTAACCATCGGCAAAGAAGTTTCATTTGCTGTATCAGCATCAGAGCCCTGGTGGTCCAGTGATCTTTGCACTTTGTAACATAAAATCTATGTTTTTTTCTAGATATTGAAAAAGTAAGCATATTGCAAGTTTTAAATTCAGAAATACTACTGTTTATTTCAAAACTATAGATGGCTGTTGAAGTGTTGCAGAAAAAGTCTCATATGTATTGTATTATGTATCTATGTCTTTTTATCCCTTTTGAATGTTAGGGGCAGAGAGTCTCTTTGGTGACTGTTTAAGATTGAAAGCAACAATAAAAATCTGTATCTAAATTAATAGTTTAATATAATGCTGAATGTTGTTTTGGATATTTTAGTATTTATGACTATATATGAACAAATATAATGATGCTTAACTGATGATGGCTCACAGCACGAAGTTCATAATCTCAATTGCACTTCTGTTTTATGTTCTTACATTCTTTCTAATCCAATCTATCAGAAATATTCTGTCCATCTGTTTCACCTTTCTTTTTCTTATCTTCATTTCTTCTATATCTTCACCAAGATTCTGCTTTCTTCATCTAAACCCGTCCAAAAGTCCTATGTGCCCAAGCTTCACAAGGGTGATGTAAAGGATAAATTTGAAGCAATGCAGAAAGCAAGGGAAGAAAGAAATCAAAGGAGATCTAGAGATGAAAAGCAAAGAAGAAAAGAACAATATGTTAGAGAGAGAGAATGGAACAGGAGAAAGCAGGAGGTTATTTTCTTTGCTAATATTTTGTGTTATAATATTTATTATTATATCTGAAAATCTATTCACATTATTTGAATACAATACTAGTGGGATTTCATTTAAGTTATAAAGACATTTTGCTTTCTGTGTTTCATCAACTAGATGAAAGAACTGCTTGGATCTGATGAAGATGATGACACCAAACTATCTAAAACAGAAAAGGGTTATGTTCCAAAGCTCATAGGTAAGAGAGGCCTGACTTTAATGGCCACAGAATTCCCTGGGTGAGTGTTAGATGGATCTGCTGAGCTGTGCATTTCATGTCCACAGGAACTGTTAAAGGAAAGTTTGCAGAAATGGAGAAGCAAAGGCAAGAAGAAGAAAGAAAAAGAACGGAAGAAGAAAGAAAGCGCAGAATTGAACAAGATATGATTGAGAAAAGAAAAATTCAAAGAGAATTGGCAAAAAAGGCACAGGAGGTATGTTTATCTGATCACAACAGTCAGGATGTAATTGTAAACAACAAACACTAAAAATGTTTTGTATTGATCAGAAAGATTGATCTTAAGATTTCTCATAGTAGAGATTTACGTGGGAGATGCTCAGTGGGGTGGAAGTGAGATATTATGTTCAGTCTTCATTTCTTTACAGTAACAATTTTCTTGTAAGCTCCAAAGTTGAGTTGCAGATGAAACTGGGCAGGCATAAACCTGTTAGAAACCATGCACAAATTTTGGTGTCATATGCATATAAGTTTACTAAACTAATATGAAAGTGGTTTTTGTATTTTATAAACTCTTACTTTAGACAACCTTTCCTTGTAAGTTAGTGGATAGAGCTCAGTGATACATGAACTAAGGCAAGCAAGAAGTAGTAAGAAAACGCCAGTGGCAGGTAAAAATGAGACAACACTAATGCAGTAAAAATAATAAATCATGAAGATCCAGGTCATGTTTTATTCCTTTGCCATTTTGTGAATCATCATTGCATATATATATATATAAAATATGAACAGACTCCAACTTTGATTGATGCCAATAAAGAAAATTCTGTCTTTTGTAGGATATCAAACTTAATTCCTTTTGCAAGTTTTCTTCAGTGCTGCAAATACTGCAGTGAGAGTAAGCATTTAAATTATAGACTAAAAACATATGCAAATTTCTGTTTAACCAAATGATAGTAGTACTTCATTTAGGTTGAATTTGTTGTAAGAAATGAAAAGCAGTGCTATAGGAGAAGTCAGTTTTTGGACAATCTTTTCTACTAGAACTTCTAACATGGTTAAAATTGTACGTTTAATTGGCATTGTACCTAGCATACATTTAATCTACCCTGCAAGGCAGAAGTACTTACATGTAGAATTTTAAAAAGTGTGTCAGTTTTAGGCCATAGCATAGGCACAGCATAGGAAGCAAACACAGCATGAGGCTTTTTTCAGGAGCTGAGGGGAAGACAATGTCACTTGAATCAGAAATAATCAATGACTTAGCTTTAGGGTTTTTTAAAATTTTTTTTTTTTACACAATTCTGGAATGTTTAAGTGAAGAATGGACATCTCAAGTACTGTTCTTGGTTCAGCAGTGTTGAGAATGCTTTAGCAGACTTTGTGTGGGATGTTTTATGTCTTGTTGCCTCTTCCTTGACAAGCTGACCTATCTGAAGTCTTCCAGCAGAGCCTCGCTCCTTACCACCTCTGTGAATTTATGTGCTACATACATATCACTGATACAAAAAGAATTTCCAGTTCTATGTTTGCAACTCTAAGGCAAAGAGCCAAATTAATGTAATCATATGAAATTCTCATTTAATAGATTGATGACTTTAACAATACGGGAACTGAATCAGCAGCTGAGGTAATCAGATTTTTTTAAAGAAATGTTCACCTACATTTTTATTCACTTTGTTTTATTATTGTAATTTGGGTTGGGAAAACTTAGAAAACAGCACAGAAATACCTAATTAAAGTCCACCAAGAAGTCAACAAATTTTTAATGTATATGGAACTATCTCTATAGTTGAAGTCAATATAATGAAGTCTGAAACAGAGCCTGCACTATGAATATTTTGTGGCTAATTAAGAACATCTAAAATGTAAATATTCAAAGCCACCAGAATTATTTTATATATATTAGGAATTCTTTTCCTAATAGATATATATATTAGGGATTCTTTTAAGTCCTCTGGCTTTGCAAAGAATTATCTTAAAAGCTCTTTGCCTTAAACTTGAAATTAAAGGGGGATTCTGACAATATACAGATGTTTGAACACCTCACTCAGTTAACTTTGTTATTTTTTTTACTAATATACCATATGGGTTTTGATTTATCTTGCAAATAAATGTTTCATTTCAAAAACTGGGCCCAAAGGTCCTATTGTCTTTCACTAACACAAGAAAATCACACTCCTACTACAGTTTTGGAAAGAAAAAACTAAACTTACAAATTCATCGGTTTTAACTTATTTGGCAGGAGGGAAAAATATAAGTAAATTATATTTCGGCAAATAAGTTGTAAATAGAGAGTTGAAGCAGCAACATCCTTCAAGAAACAATTACTGTACCTGACAAATTACATATTAGAAATTACAAATTACATATTTCTGTGTTGAGCTATTGGCTTATTCCAGCTGCAGTTTATTATCATTTACATAATAAATACAAAACTGGAAGTAGAGTGTGGTTACAATTGTTGTGTATTCAAAATTACACCTGTTCTTTCCCAAACCTTGAGTTTTTATGGCAAACAGTTAATGAAAATCCATAAAGGAATTAAGGAGTTTGCCAGCCATTATGTTTAAAATATAATTCAGTTCTTGATACTCGTCAGATATTAGAAGAAAACTAGTGACTTTATTCTTGTGGGTAATATTCAACACAAGTAAATCTTTTGGAAGCTTTGGTGCACACACGTTAAACAGCAGCTTCATTAAGAACTGAGGCTACCTACAAGTCAAGTGCCATGAAAATGTAATAAATATCTTTTTGGACAGGAAGGGGATGAATCACTGCTAGTTACAGTAGTGCCTGTAAAAAGCACCAGGACATCTGGGAAGATGAAAATAAACTCTGAGAACACAGGAAAAGAGAGAGCAGAACAAGGAAAGACGCAGGATGAAGAAATGGCGCTAAAAGATGAGAAACAAAACCAACTCCTTAAGGACCCCAAGTGCCTTTCATTAGTCCAGGTAAAGCAGTCATCCAAAAATACCTATATAATAGATATTTATTGGCTTAAGATACAACTGTTTCATTTTTCTTACCCAGGGTGAAAATGAAAACAGTGAAACTCAAGATGCTCTGTCTCCTGGTAAGCTGAAAGTGACATTTGAAGAACTGGAAAGACAAAGACAGGAGAACCAAAGGCGGCAAGCAGAGGAAGAAGCGAGGCAGCGTTTGGAAGAGGAAAAACGTGCCTTTGAAGAAGCCAGGCAGAGAATGGTAAGCACACATTTTGTTCATGCTGGTACACAATCTGCACATTCTTTCCTGTATGTGATTCTTCTCTTTTCTTCTTCCTTATCTCTATTTCAAGCTGTTAAGAGTCTGGAAATGAGTTTTTGAAAGACATTTTTGACCTTTGCTCTAACTCAGTAACCACACTGGCATAATGCTTTAGACATTCTTTTAGTGAACCAAAAAATAACAGTGTTTTGATTTTGCCAGCAACTCAGTAGATTTTTTATCTACACTTTGTAGTATCTTAAGCTGTAAGCCTTCAAGAAGATGAGTGGCTGTCTGTTTTCTCTGAAGTAGTGCTGCAGATGGTTCAGTAATTGGTTTTTGATGTAAACATTCCTTAGTAACAGAATGCTGTTTCTTATCCCCATATTTATTTGTAAATGTGATAGAAATATACATTAATTACAACTCTCCCCTTATGAAGAAAGGCAAAAAAAAAAAGATCAGCTCTTTTTTATATACTAACATAAACAACAACAAACTATAAATTACTAGAGGGAGTCCCCTAAATTGTCAGAAATGCAGCCCACAGATCCTGTTTTGTATTACATGGAAAACTGCCTCCATATGTGTTCTTTATCATACGTCAGAGCTAGATCAGCTATAAACAGAGCTCACTACAGTTTGTTCTTGGATCATACTGAAGGAATCATACACTTAGTATTAACCTAAGCTAACCAAATAGTTTAGTTTAGTTTATTTTTCCATACTCCATTTCCCCTGTATAGTCATGATCACTATGACTTTCTTAATTCGCATACAAAATTCACATACAAACAAGATTAACAAGAAATGAGATTTTAATCTTCCATAAAAACTTGGAAAATATTGTTTATAGGAAATTTGCTAGCTTTAACAGAGTATAATTATGCATGGACAGTTTTGGAAAACAGCTCTAGATCGCTATTTCGATTATATTTCCAAAACATTCAGGACATTTATATTCTACAGAAACAAACTTAAACAAAACCAACAACACAGAACTTCTAGAAAGCAGAAACACACAAATTTCCAACTGGTCCATATTGAGAGAGTTCTAGGTTTAGGCAGATACCCAAACTGTAGTTTACTTTTTCATGTCCCCCTCCAATAAACTGCTGTTGTTTCACACCAATAACCTTGCTGTTATGTCAATAATGGACATTTTTGGTTTTTGTTTGGGGCAAGGGATTCTAGTGAAGGAGAAGAGTGAAGAAACTGAAGGAGAGTAAACTCCATGAAGTCACTTAGGTGTTCTAACTGAAGATTAGTTCACATCTCCCTTCCTTATGCTTATGCATTTATTTATCAAGTAATATGAATTAATTTACAAATTCTCTACATCAAAAGAATTTTTTTAACATGAAGCTGTTAAACCTACTGACCAGTGGTTGTCAAAATTCAGCAGTTAATTTCTTTAAATTCTCTTTTTTTTTCCTTTACAAATTTCAAATAAAGATTTCTCTAATTCCCTTAATGGGTTATCCCACATACCAGTCCCAGGGCTGCTCAGAGTATAGAGATCTGGATTATCAGTACTCTGACAGCTCCCAGTCACTCCCTCCATGAACAGATAAAGTACTCTGGGATGTCCTCTGAAAGGGGCTCTTGATTGCAGCTTGCAAAGCACAGGCTTCTCTTAGCACGTAAGAGTTCACTGGAGAGAAGCTATAGTGAGGAGACCAGAGTATCTCAATTCCTTTTCTTCAGTGATGATTAAATGTCTAAAAAGAAAAGAAACAAAAATCTCAGTCTGGAATAACAGTAAAATGCTAACTGATTCAGATTTGCTATAAGACTGTACAGCATTTCTGTAAGTGGTGCACTGATGAAAGCAATTTCTATACAAACAAAAAGACTTGATGATATAAACATCTACGAAAATGATGTAAATAAAGAGAATAGAGAGTGATTTACAGTAAAGGATCCAACAATGAGACCATAAAGTATGTACTTAACTGTTCAGCCTCTTCCTGGTAACACACTGTTCTTTGAATTACACACTCAACACAGTTTTAAAAATTATAAAAGCTATGTGTAGGATACTGAAAATTTCTTTTCTTGCTCCCCTGGCTAGAACAAAGATTTAAATGATGCTCACAGGACCCTAAATCTTGATGCATTTTTTTCCCCCAAAGAGAAAACAGTACTTATAAAAGATCAGAAAGGAATGGAGTATTTATTTGCAATAAGGAATATTTTTTCTTGTTTAGATAAGTGCTTTCTACGTTTTCTTCTCCCTATTCTCTTAAGATAAATGAAGGTGGTGATGAAGAATCTGAAAATGCTGTTAAAGAATTCCGCCCTGGTAAACTCAGACTCAGTTTTGAGGAGATAGAAAGGCAGAGGAGAGAAGAGGAAAAGAGGAAAGCAGAAGAAGATGCACGACGACGCATAGAAGAGGAGAAAAGAGCATTTGCTGAAGCAAGGAAGAACATGGTATGGTATTTTGGTTTAGCACAGAATTTAATTTTTACCTAAATCCCAATCTGGAAAGAAACTCTGGGAAAAACTTTTAAATAAAGTCAGGAATACATGCTTCAACTCCTTCATTAATTAGTTCACCTTACTATTTATTATAAGGTAATGGGGTAAACTAGTCAGGTTCATTTACCAAAAGTCATCAGAGAACAATTCCCTCCTCACAGCCAGCCTAGACAGGATTTCAGATAATTCAGTCCAAAGCAGGTATCATATCCAGTGGGTATTATTACACTAGATGCAACATACTTGGGAAGAAAAATGTTTCCACAAGGAGGGTTAATTGTTTTGGGTTTTTTTGGGAAGAGCAATTTCTTTTACAGCTCCAAGTTTATTCCCCTACCTCTACAGGGTGTCCACTCTTACTACTAAAAGCACTACTAATTAATGACATAGTAGAAAAATGCTCACTGCAAGTATGTATCTTCCAGTCATCTGTGGTTCTTCAGGGAGAAAAAATTAAAAGGTTGAGCTCTGCTACTTGATGTTTTTAATGCTTGCTCAGGGAAAAACAAAAAATAACTTGTGGTGTTTACCATTAGAACACTTTGTAATACTATCTTCCCTTGACAAACACAGATTTCTGTCATATGCAAGGACTTCTAAAATTTGAGTTAGGATTAAACTGAAGAGAAATTTTCAGGGGCTTAGGACTGACATACTCTACCTGAAAGCACAGAAAGATGCCTGATTTCAGAGGTTGGCAACTACTATTTATATTTAAAAAAATAAAAAAAAAATGCGGCCACAGAGCTTTTAACTGTGGTCTTCATACTTAGTCCAACCATTTCAAGATTCAGCAGGCTTTTGGGTATAAGCCAGTTACTTATTGGTGAATATCAGGAAATACAGCATTAAATTACAAAAGTATAAACTAGAATGAAGTAGTGTTTGTTTGAAAAGGGAGGGCAGGGCAGGACCTGCCAGTCTAGAACTGTGGAATAACCCAGGCATCTGGTAGCACCTTCCTGCATCCTCTGTGGCTGAATTGGGAAAGGCCAACTGTGTGCCCAGTAACATTTTCTTGATCACTCAAAGCAATACTTTGAAAACTTTGTGTGAGTACTGATACAGCCAGCAGCACTCCCTCTGCCTGGAAACTGGGCCAAAGACTTGTGCTGAAAGACTACCTAGAGAAGCTACAATGTGAATTTATATTTGATGCTGTACTGAAAAATAGTGTCTGTCTGTATCTCCAAAGACAGAAAACAAAACCTAAAGCCACTTAAAAATACCCTCAATCCAACAAAAGAATGCTACTGGAGACTTTTTATGAAAAGGCAGTAGAGAACTAAAGGAAGCCCAGAAAGTATGTGCTGCTTCTGTTTTTTCCTGCTTTCTTGAGAAACTCTTTTTTTGCCCTCAGTGTAGCAAGAGCCTAAACTCAAGTGTCCAGGCAAGAAAAACCTCACTGATAAACAGGGTGTAATCCATCATACCAGCACAGTGGCTGTGACTGCTCTACTTGCAGACAGTCAAAGTGGTCTGTAACTAAAAAAAACCTGAAATATATTTTTAGCATTTATGCACTTGAAAGTTCTCTGTTAAGTAGCATCCTGAATATGAATACTATGTTTTCTACTATTAACAGAATATAATCTTCTGTTTTCCTTATTTCCCACTGCTACAAAATGTAGCGGCAGTGAAGATTGTCCTAAAATGTTTAAAAATATAATAGTCCTCCCTTTCAAAGGCAGTAAAAATGAACATTAAATTGTTATTCCAGGAACTTTTTAATGTTCATTCATTTTAATTTCGTTTTGGAAGTGGTAGAAATGGTAGTATTGTGGCTGGAAAACACAAATGCCACCTCCTTTTGGATCTCCCTCTTTCACATTTCCCTGTGCTATTTCCATGCTCCCCACCATCAGTGTGATCACTTCTACACTGAAGTCTTTCACCCCCATCAATCTTTTTCTAGTAGAGACTGCCAAAAAAACCCTGTCTTAGCACAAAACCTCCAAAACAAAACAAAGAACTTTTCCTGTTGACTATGCTACAAACCATGATTGTTACAGGAAAGTTTCTCACTACCAACCATTTCCACTTTGCAGAAAAAAAAAGTATGGCCTAATTTCACAAAATATGGCTAAAATGTTTACTGAACTAACCACAGAGGTTTTGTGCATGACATAGCTCAACTAAATCTTTGTGGTTTTTAACCAGGGAGAAGGTGGCTGTGTTTTCATAACTTAGAAATACAGAGACAGCTGCTAGTGCATGCACAGATTTTGAATTCCTTAGGGCAAATTCTGAATTGATGCTTCTCATGGTCACTTAGATTTGGTATCTTCTTGAAGTCATGAATTTATGAACTAATGCACCACCAACAAAAGAATTTCATGTTGCTTTGCTAATTTAGTTATGGGCAGCCTCTAAAAACTGTGGGGTATCATTGTCACTGTAGGGAGGAGTTCACAGCTTTGGTTTTTGACTTCACTTCTCTATAACATAATTTCAACAATTATGCTCATACTACACAAAACAAACGAATGGAAGGAAGGGTGGTGCTGAAGTGCAATTATAAGCTTAGAGGGAAAATGTGAGTAAAATCTGTAGTGAATAGCAGAATTTGAGTGGGATTGGGCTAAAAAACTACTGAAAGAGCTGTGGCAAATAAAGAGATGATATGGGCAAAGTAGGTCAAGAGTGTGGTATGAACCAAGATAACACCAAGGAGCAGAGAAAGGTGTGGGTTACAGTGGCAGTAAGCAGCAATAAATATAAGTAGTGCCAGAGGCTCTTACAGAAATGCCTTTTCTCTGTCCCTTTATAGTCAGAGCACTTGCTCAAAAGGAAATATTGCTCCTTTAATTATTGCTGTCATTTGACTGATTACTGCTGCTGGAAATGCCTACAACTTAGGGCACATTGAGCTCTCCCATGTTTGCCACAAGGTTTTTCAAACCTGTGCTGATCAAACAGTGCCAAAAACCACATCAGTGCCTGACCTCACCTCACCTTTACCTACATTCCTGTTGAGACAATCTGTTAGTAAGTTGATATAGTTACATATACATATATTCTTATTCATAAACTTACATGAAAATTCTTGTATAACTCCCTGTCACTACTGGCTGCTTTTGCAGTGTTCAGATTCGTATTTTAGTACTTCAACAAATTCAGTCTGATAAAATATTAGTTCTTGCACTTGCTGCTTTGGACATAATGAAAACTGCCTTTCCTAGGCCCTACTATCTACAGATTAGTCTAAAAGATAGGCCAGCTGCTCCCAATGCCAACCAGGCGTAACCCTGCTCTGAAGCCATTCAGGGACAGGGAAAGGAGGAAACCCTGCTAGTGGGTGTATAAATCAATAAACTAGCCACATAGCTTAACATAAACAATTTGTGCAAAAAGAAGAGCTTCTTCTGAATGTTCTGTTCTTTATCCTTACTGGGAATACTAATACTGCTTTAGAACACAAATGTAATTCAGATTGCTTAAGAGAAAGCTTACAGATAAATGTACTTCAGTATTAAGAGCAATGACATTTAAACACAAAAACTTTGTCTGAAGTAAACAAGAATGAATTGCTTTAGGTTCTAAAGGTGCATTTAGAGGACATCCTCCCCTACAGAGGGAAAATACTGCACTTAAAAAACCACCTAATCTTCATTATAAAAGTTTAGTGCTGTAACTAAAGTGAAATACCAAGCCCCAAAGCACTCCCTCCCACAGCATCAGAGGAATGGCCACACTGGCACAGTGCCCCTGTCTGTGCTGGGGCAGATGTGACAAAAAGTCACTTATCTTTATGTACCACAAGTGTCTGAACAATGCTGTGATTTCATCACAGATATAATTAATGCTCTGAATTTCCAGCAGGTGCTGGATGATGAATCACCAGAAATGTTTAAAACCTTTTCTCAAGAATCTCTCCTACCTGGTAAACTGGAAATTAATTTTGAGGAGTTGCTGAAACAAAAAATGGAGGAGGAAAAGAGGCGCACAGAAGAAGAGCGTAGGCAAAAGTTGGAAATGGAAAGGCAAGAATTTAAACAGCTGAGACAAGAAATGGGACAGGTTTGTACATCAAACTATATGTTAAGTATGCTCTGAGCAAAAATAAAATTTATCACTTTGTTACTAAAAGTTTAAGACTGGAAAGAAAAATTCCTTTGAAAGAAGTTTTAAGTTAATGCATTCAATATTATGTGAAAGGAAAGAAAAATAGAAAATCTTATTTGTAAAACATTTTATATAATGTTTATCTAATGTTTTATAACTTTTTTTGTCACTAATCTATCAGGAAAATGTGTTTATCCACTCCCACCTTAGAAGCAAGTACAGTTATGAATTCGTAGTTTGGTTTTGCAATAATTTCTGAATTTCTGGACGATTACTAAAATGATTAGATAATATGTAGGATCTTGGGAGAACAGAAATATCTAGTTCCCAAAAGACAATACAAAAACAGAAGTAAGAGAAAGGGCAATATTCTTGCTTTTTCTTAGAGAGATACTGTGCTACCTAATGAGAAAAATACAGTGGGCTCAATTTTTTTCTAATTGGTGTTTCAAGGGTTTGAAGACTGGCACAGTTGATTTTAAAAATCACACACAAAATCTGCTTTACATGCCAATGTTTAAAACATCACACTGATGAACTTTACACTTCAGTGTGGCTGTGGGTGGCAATTCTTTTATTGTTCCCTTTTGAATGTTAGAGAACAACATTAATTCATTGTTGTTGTATTTTTGTTGCAAAGCTTGAGCAAATAGTAAAGGCTCTAGCTTGTGATGTTCTCAACTAATCCTGGGGGAAGCAGGGAGAGACAGGGACATCCAGCTAAAATGCATGTACATCTTTACAATCAGGGTCATAAAAGGAGGGAGAAAAAGATCAGTAATTACAGCTTCCCATGTGGTTTGACTGCAGGATCCACAACTGCCCTTTCTTTTCCAGCCACAACATCTTGAAATGTCATTTACTTTTTCATTGAATTAGGAAAAGATTAAAAAGGCAGTATTTTATTTTTAACAAAATAGCTGTATTTTAGAAGATTACTTCATATCATATTACAAGCAAATAGAGGTGAATTTTGGACTCCAGCTAAGTTTTTTGTATTGGTCTGTGTCTGGTTTTCTGAATCCAAGAAGGGCAGTTTATTGACAGCAACCCTTGAACAAATGGGATATTCAAGCAAGGTATTTTAAAATCTGTATCTAGTTGAGATATGATACAAATGCATTCATCATGAGATAGCAAAGTAAAAAAAAATTACAGGGGAAATTTCAAGTAACTAACAGAGCTGTAATGTATTGAATTATACCATCTGGAGGGAGAATAGGTAGTAAAAATAATGAGGGCATTTTCCATCTTACACATTCTGTCATTTCGGAACAGCTGGAAGAAGAGGCTGAAACTTTTGAGTTAAGCAAAGAATATGAAGAATTGATGAAGCTAAAAAGAAGCGGTTCTATCCAGGCAAAGAACTTAAAAAGCAAGTTTGAAAAAATAGGACAACTGTCTCAAGAAGAAATACAGAAGAAGATTGAAGAAGAGCGAGCAAAGAGAAGAGCCATGGATAAAGAAATCAGAGAAAGGGAAGCTGAAAAATTTCAAGAGGTAAGTTGCATTCTATGTATGTTAATGATCTACTTAACCAGCACACTAATGATCCAGCAGTGGAAAATGCTGCTGCTTTGATAAAATTTTGCTGCTTCCAAAATTATGTTCTCCCTTCTTTCCTGTTCCCTCCTTTGGATGCTTAAGGACATCACACCTCAGCACCCCTTAAAGAGACAGCAGCAGTTTATTATCAGTGATTGAGTCAAGCAGAGTTCTGCTTTTCTGCTCAAAGCCCTACAACTCAGCATTTTAACCTGAAACCTGCCAGTCTGAGGGCTTAAACATCCATATCTGAGAATTACCTATTAATCATCACTTGAACTGCTTCTCCTTCTGAACTCTTAATTCATTCTCCACTACATGAATGGAATAAAAAACTCAATTACCCAATCCAGACAATACCATTTGAAGATCAAGTCTCTGTGATATACACTCACTCCTCAGGGTAGAGCAGAAGAGGGTTCCTATTTATCTGTATTTCAGACCAGAACCTTCAGTTTTTCAGAGGGGAAACCCCAAGAAATGGAGCTATCAGTGACAAAGTGGTCTGGAATCCATATGCTCAGTGTGAGCTTTTGTGATGAAATGTAAAACCTTAACAGTACTAAGCCTGATCTGAACTTCATTCTGGCTCTTCTCCACAGGAGTCACTTCAGCATCAGCTCAAAGTCTGTCCTATTTGTGAGCTTTTAATTTAATGATTGACACTCATTGTTTTCATAAGGTCAACTGTTTCAGTGTTAAACCCAATCCAACATCATGGCAAAATAATCCAGTCACTGAGGATGTACAATTGCCAAGAAGTGCTCAACTTCTATATGAATAAAACTTCAGCAATATTTTTTTACACAGAATTTTTGAAATTACTTTTCCAAAAATCTTGTCCTATCCTTGGATGAACTATTACAAAACTCACCCTACACTCAAACAAACTTCTGAAAAAACCAGGTCTCTGTGTGGCTCTGCTCAGTTAAAAAAAAAAAACTCTGGGAACACAAAACTGGTTTTGCTATCATATATATATGTCTAAGGCATTAAATAATAGTTAAGCCATGTTTTTAATTATTATTTCCCAAGGATGATGATGTAGATGTGACACCAGCCATGAAATCCGAGGCTCCATTTACTCACAAAGTGAACATGAAAGCTCGTTTTGAGCAAATGGCAAGAGCCAGAGAAGAAGAGGAGCAGAGGAGGATTGAGGAGCAGAAATTACTACGCATGCAGTTTGAGCAAAAAGAAATCGATGCAGCATTACAAAAGGTATAAATTGCAAAATAATCTTCTCCAGTTGTGTCATTTAACTTAGCTTCTAAATTACCACTGTAGGCAACACTACCAGATACAAAAGGAAAGTTCTGCTTCTTTTAGCAGGTGCTAGGAATTGCTGAAATAATATAAAATTGCTTTTGGTGTTTGCACATACTCTCCATGGAATCAAAGAATGGTTTGGGTTGAAGGGGCCTTAAAATCATCTAGTTCTGACTCCCCTGATGTAGGCAGGGACACCTCCCATGAGATCAGGCTGCTCAAAGCTCCATCCAACCTGAACACTTGCAGAAGAGCGTGAGACACTGCTGACATCCTGTGTCAGAGTATGTGACATCCTGTGAATAGTCTGAAAATGGAATTGACATTCCTGCCTGTATTTTACACCAACATTCCAGCCTCATTAAAATGCATTTTACTGCCCGTGGCATACCCAGATTGGGTGCATTCTAATGTATTGAGGACAGATGTGGAATTTCCTCTTCTCAGAAACACAGTAACTTGTAATGAAACATGTGTCACTATCAGTCATAGTGCTATTGCTACTTTAAATTCAACTTATTTTAAAACAGAAAAGGGAAGAGGAAGAAGAAGAAGAGGGAAGCATTATTAATGGTTCTACTTGTGAAGATGAGGATCAGGCTCGATCTGGAGCTCCCTGGTTCAAGAAGTCACTGAAAAACACATCAGTTGTTGATGGCGAGCCAGTGAGATTTACAGTTAAAATTACTGGAGAACCAAAACCTGAAGTTACATGGTGGTTTGAAGGGGAAATGTTGCAGGACTCTGAGGACTATCAATATATTGAAAGAGGAGAAACCTACTGCCTTTACTTGCCAGAAACCTTCCCAGAAGATGAAGGGGAATATATGTGTAAAGCAGTCAACAATAGAGGCTCAGCTGCTAGCACCTGTATTCTCACCATTGAAAGTAAGAGCTAGCATTTTAATTTGCTTGTATCTCAGTCTTATTATCTTTCCTGTTATGAAAATCTAATTTCCTCTCTCTCTTAACCCTCTTTCTGTTTTCTAGCTGATGACTACTAATGCTCTACTTTAGCTGGAATCTTTCTTCCCCTCAACTTTCTTACTGCATCATCTCTTTCTCTGATGGGGCCAACTAAAGAAAGCAAGGATGTGCATTAATTTGTCATTCCTGCATCAGATAAGAATATACCCTTCAAATTGTGAGAATTCCCTACTCAATGCAAAAACTATATCAAAGGCTGAAACTAAAAGGAATCAATGTATGAAAGATCAACTGAAGGAAAAAGATGAATTATCACAGTGCTCCAGCATTTGAAGACCAACTCTTGTGTAAGAGAATAAAGCTGAATACACCATCTGGAACTTGTGTAGTAGTGTAAATCTGTTGGTGTATCCTGCATGAGCACTGAATATTTAAGCTGTTTTACCTTATCCCAGAGGCACTGAACTGGCAAAGGAAATACTTCCTGATGATTTTCAAAAACCCAAGTGTATTATTTTTAAAGAATAAAAGATGACGTAAGTGCTCACCATTGTTTGAAGCAGCATAACTTCTTTTGTTTTAAAATGGGTTTACATTGAAAATGTTCTGTTCTGATTAACCTATGCAGCTGATAATCTCAAATAAAAACCATCTCCTTTAGGTTTATAGTAGTCTTCAAAGTACCAACACCTGCTTGTAAGACTCAGGAGTTTTTTTCATTGATCGAATGACACCGAAACAGGCGGTGACATCTATGAGAATATTTTCACAAAGTGCCTATTTTCTCAATCTTAATGCAGTAAGTTTATTGCCACATCTATAAACACTATTTTCTGAAGCCTACTGTAATACTTTTTTTTAAGACCTCCTGACAACAACACTGATGTCACTCTGCTAACACCCATCTGAACCACAGAGATGAAGCTTTGGGAGGAGTAACTTTACACAAAAAGGTCACACTTTCAAGTACTCTTATATAGTACTGTGGCTGAATCTGCTTTCTTTCTACAGTTACCTGCTGCAAGTCACTCTCTGGCCTCATTAACAAAGGGTAACGAGCTGCATGGTGTTTTAAATTAGTATTTACTCTAATAACTACACGAACATTTAACTTCATTTTTTGTGGGTGATAGTCATTCACAGAAATACAGGTTGATACAACAATTATGCTCTGAAGCTGTAAGTTCAAAATAACAAAGGCAGGGATAGGAGCATAAAAAAGACAAAACCATTGCTATTATTATTCATCAGTTTACATTTATTGAGAAAAACCATACAAAAACCATTATACAGTTAATGTGTACCCATATTACATACAATGTCAATGCAAGCTCAAAACCACATTTTTGTAAAGCATTCAATTTACCTCAAGTCCAAGCTGCATCTCCCTAAGACACTGTTCCCATCACAGTTGCCTTTTAAAGCCAATCTTCTGTTTACACACGGGTAGTTTCTGCAGAGAACACTTTTCTCAGGACGAAAAGGCATTTCACATGCACGCAAGAGAAATATTTGTGCATACACAAGAGTTTCATAAGCTAGTACTAGGGAAGAGGGAATCCTGTCAACTGTTTGCTTTCTGAAAAGCCCAGTCCTCCCTTCCTCCCCCCACTTCTGGAGAAAAAGCAAAATGGAAAAACTTTTAGCATGCAATGGAAAACTTAAGAATTACTCTGGAAAGAAATGGGGAGAAACAGTTTCTACCATCCAGTAAAATATCACTAGTATAAAGATGAAATAATTCAAGATAGGCTGTGCAAGTGAATCGTGATCCCGTCTGCCTGACAAGTGAAACAGATGACTTACAATTAAGCCACCCTAAAGAGAATCCACCTTAAATTTTATTCAATGTCCTAATTAAGTATAGGCTGCAGAAAGTGATATGAAAATTCTTTTCCTACTTGGAACATAATGCTTGCTTTTAAAACTTTTCTTACTCTTCACATTCACTGTGGGACACTAAGAGGTGATGGGTGGGGTAAGCAGGAAACATTTCAAGACACCTTTTGGACAAGTCCACTGCACTTCTAAGCAAGTTCAGTTATCTTTTTGGCTACTGGGGTAACTCCAATAATCTACTGCTGTCCCAGGAACTCTGAGTTTGGAGACCAGAGTTGAAACAGAAAAGGAACACGGTGCTCTGCACAGACCAGCATGCCTGTAAGCCCTGCAGTGAGAAAGCTGGAAGCCAATACACCTCAAATGCTACACAGAAGAAATCTCACCTTCCACACTAGCAACATCCCAATACACTGGCTTTTTCTTCTCTATCTCCTCCCACAGGCTAAATTAGCAACTGAAAGACTGTTCAAGATATTTGAGGAGCAACAGTTGAAGGAAAAAGTACCATGTAAAAAGGAAGTGAACAAATGACTCACCCCCACACTAAATCCACAGTATCAAAATCCAAATGGTACACACCTACCCTCTTCTCACATCAAAAATGAAGTTACATGTTAAGCTACAGATGAAATACTAAGTGGCTTGAGAAACTGAAGCACAACTATTAATTCAGTTCAAAAATTAGCTTGACTGTTTAGAAGGATATAAAGTAAAATAGATGGTTTATATTGTTAAATCACAGTTTAAAAAACTTTAACAGATTATGGAACATTAATGGTCAAACAAAGAATACTTTAAAGAATGAAAAGTGATCAAAACAAAAATTATACCCTATATCATTATGTATGGGATACATTTCAAATCTGTTATGCTTTTGCCAATTTTACCTTCTACATGGAGCCCTTCTACGGTCCATGCTCATCGGCTCACCAATGGCATACACTCAAAGGATTCCTCTTTACTGGTAGTAACTATCTCAGGACCTGATTCTATGAGCTATGATTTGGTGCTTGCAGCATCTTCAGCACTGTGTGTGAAAATGAAGGCAGTATTTTTGAATATTTTTCTTTGATGTACAGATAAGCAGGACTTTTGAAAGAGGAGCAGCACATTTTAGAAGCAGAATAATGAACAAAAACCAAACAGATGCTGCTTTATGTTAAGCTAAAAAAAACCAACAACAAAAGCTCAGAATAAAAACCTGTACCAGACCATCTGTAAGACATTTAACATTTTATACTATCAAAATATTCAGCAATTCAGTTAAAAATATCAAGAAACAGCATACACTGACTGCTATAGCAATAAAATATTATTTGCTGTACTGTTAACTGGTGCTCATGCTTTTTCAGTTAAAACATTTTCATCTCAAACTGCAAAATCTCTTTTCCTACCATGTCAAGTATTAATAAGCAAACTCCACTAACACACTAGAACTGTAAGACAAGTTATCAAGTTCAGTGATAACAACAAGAAGTCATTCTTCACATTTAGGTTTTAAGGATTAATGGGAATAGTGCCCTATCATAAAAAAAACATTTGTGAAGGCTGTTGACATTTCTAACCAAAGCAATTCCTGCACATTTTAAAGGTTTGGATTCTTGAATTGCAACAATTATCTATTTGGGTAAAATAACAAAAATTACTTATTCTGATCAAGTTTAATTACTGCAATCTAACATTCTTTTCTAAAAAAAAAAAAAAAAAGAAAAAAGAAAAAAATACATATTGACCTAGAAATATAAACAGTTGTTTAAAAACTGAAGATTTTCCACTCAAATGGAACCGTGAGTAACAATGCATTTGGGGAAGCAGCAGATTGCTTTTCAATACACAACCACAAAGATCTCACAGGGACAACATTAATGTACTGAAATATATTAATTTATATACTTCCTTAGGTTGTGCTTACCTGTTGCTTTTTTGCAGCAGAACCTAAGGTGGAAGGTCTGGGAAGGCACTGTGAAGTATAAATAATTGCACTGTTTGCAATTAATAAAGATTTTATACCTTAAATGAATCAAAATCAACAGCCTCCATTTTGCGAATGATAAAGAATCCAGTGAATTTAATTTTGCTCACTTTAGTACATAATAAATGCACCATTCTGTAAGGTTATCTACAAAATACCATGCAAAATACCTGAACTATTAAACTTAATACCCTACACTAAAGATAGCAAATACTGTCCTAGCCTTCTTCAAGCTACCAGCAAATTCCTAGCTTTAAAAGGATAAAAATAATTCCTTCTATTTCTACAGCACAATGCATACATTGCTGATTACCTGAAAAAACTACTTCAGTTTTCAAGCCTTAACTTTTACTTCTCTGTGCAGCCACCCTAAAAAAATTTAATTCTCAAAGCAACAACATGGTGTTCCAAAAATTAAAGCAATTAACAGTTATAGAATTATTTAAAACATACCTACATCACTACATATCCGCAAACTATCTGAAGACAAAGACAACTCTGTCTAACAAGTGGTTCTCAAAGACTTCAATGTTATGATATGCATACTTTAAAACACTGAATGACAGCTGTCTCATGAGTACTAATGAAAGAAACTCTTAGATAAACAGAAACACGATTTTCTTTAGCTATTGCTAGAAGTTTCAGAAATACTTACCCACAAAACTCAGATTATGTGTATGTATATATATAAGCAAACCTATGTTTCTGAATTAAGAAGCAATTATGATTTCCTAAGATACCAGCACTGTATTCCAACATAATATCACACAAGCACAGCATTTGCATTATGTGGAACATTGACAAAAAGATACTGTTGCAGTTCATCAATTTGTCATTCTGATGTACTTACAGTGCAATGCTCCTTGAAGGAACAATCAAGGATGATACACAGCACAGTCCTCCTCACCCCTATAGAGCTAGTTCTATACTGGCTGGATCAAACCTGCACTTCAACAGACAATGGCAAGACAGACTGTAGTGCATGTAGTCTAATATATGCAAAGAGCCAATAAATATGCAAAGAGCAAACACAGGATTTCAAGAGAATCAGCTTTTTAGTATGAGCATTAGAGCAATAAGAAGCTTCAAGTATATATAAAAAAATAGTCAGTTGATTCAAATACTTGAATATTTACAAAAAGAGAAGTTATCTGCTCTGCAGGAAGTTCTCAACCACTCCCATCACTCGAACAAAACAGCGTTTTAAGGACAGACGCAATTTTTGTAACTACTATGCATTACCACATTGACTTTTCTACACTGAGTTTTGAAGTGGACTACTTTAAACTGAAGGCTTAAGCATATTATACTTGAAGTAAATTTTACAACTAGTCTGAAAAAATCCATAGAATAGTTATGCAGGAACAGTTTTGAAGTATTCAATTAACAACAAAAGTTATCTGTTACAGCAGCTGCACAGGTCTGAAACAGTGGTCATGTATAAAAGGAAATTTCACTGTTAATGCAATGGAAGTATGCCAAAAGATCATCTTCTTAAACACATGCAGTTTTAATCAAGTAGAAAAAAAATTAAGGTATCGAGATTACTGGTGCTAGGCAGCAAAATACAATGAATGAAAGAGATCCTCCATCTACAGCTATTCTGCAAGAGGGGAAAAACATGCTAATGACAAGTTTTTAAACTCAGCAAGGCTTATGGGGGGGAAAAAAACCCAACTCATTTGTGTAGCTGTACCTTGATTCAGCGTTGCAAATCAATCCTATAATCAATACTGCATATACCCACATATCCAACTTACCGACACAGGAGGTTTCATATTATTTATTGTAAAGCACAAAACAGGCATTTTAAAAGTGATAAAGTATACATTGAAAAAGTACATTTATATCACAAAGCATTGACCACATAATTGCAAATACATTTGCTGGAATGTGTACATCTACACTAATACTAAAAACAAACCATTTTTTCATTTCTACACAGAAATATTACCTCCTATCAGTAGTGATAGATATTTTGTACATTTTCAAAAACACTATTTTTTTAAACCAAATTTAAGATCTTCATCAAGGCGTCTGCATCCATACATTTAACAAAGGTTTTTTCCCCCACACAATGAAGCAAATACTGTATTGTCCACTTCTTATTATTGGCCCTGTGCAGAAGAGATACATAAGAGATATACAAAAAGTTAAAGAAAATCCTTTAAATCGAGCTAACTCAGGAGTGAAGCCTTTAAGAAAGAAAAATTGGTTAATGTAAATGGTGGTGGCTTCTTGCATGGTTTTCAAAACCCTGGGAGGAGAAAGTTTTTCTTCTTTTTTTTAATAAAAAAAACAATCACCAAACATATGGATAGATACAGAACTCAAGTTATCAAGTAAACAAAGTCATCTACTCATTATTCTGATAGCTACTTTGCTAGAAAAAAAGATGCATACCCCAAAGGAACAAAGCAGGAGACATGCAAAAAAATATCTACAACCACTGAGACAGAAGCCAGCCAAAAACCACTTCAGGACTGTACCTGTGGTGCTGGAGGATGCTGTGGCATTCCCTGGGGACTTGTCTGAGCGTAGTACGCTGCCTGCTGCCGGTAGTACTCGGCCCACGCCGCGCTGTAATCTGGCTGCCCGCCCGGAGGAGCCCCAGCAGGGGCAGGCACAGCTTGACCTGCAAGAATTGCAATTGCACAGCTTTGTTGTTGCAACACAAATGAGAGAATCTCAACAAACATCACCCAGCAATATTCCTCCAAGGCTCTGAATAAACTTGTGGCTGCCTCTTTCAGCCTAAACACTCATTCTATTACTTTAATGTAATGACTCCCATGTAAATCAAAATTAAGGAACCCATAAGGACAGTTTTTTCAGCCTCTTGATTCATAATCATGAATTATGTTTAAAGCCTGCTGACCTGAACAACAGTAGTATTTAAATACATACCAAAAGGCAAAACTTTTTGTAATCCACCCAGACTAATTTTACCTTATATTACAGACTGCATTCATTAGCTCAGCAGATGCCAATTCATTTACTTCCCCAATGCTGGCATACTTCATTCCATTTCAAAGTTATTGCAGGTTACATTTTTCAAAAAGTGCAATAATTTTTGTAAACATTTACTCCACTACAGAATACAGTCCTGAAATGTGCTTCCACACTTTGTGGAAGTTCTAATCTCTAGAAACAAGAGCATGTACAGATACACTCTCAAAGAGAGCTCACAATTACTTCTCCTTTCAATATAATCAACTGACAGACTAAAATCCCAGTGCCAGACTGATACACAGGGACTCTTCAGCATACTAAAAAACCAAACAAAAACAAAATTACAGCCAACCTTTCAGTTGTGCTGTTCTTCCACAGAACATCTGTCACAGACATCTTTACTTCATTTTTCCTCCAACTTCAGAAACACCAAACACACCCCTCTCAGTACCACTAATCTTTACAATTTCTGAGAGGTGTTTTTGCAGTTACCACTACAAAATGTGCAAGACTCCAAGCACAGCAACACTCTCTATACTCTAAGTATCTGTCCACACACACTTGCAGGCACCCAAACAAAAGGGTTTTATATGTAGGGCTTTATTTCAAGTTTCCTGAACTTCCAAATCAGAACTTTTATTACTGTCCTATGAAACTCATTAATTTATATTCTTAATGGATTCTTTCAAATCAAAGTTCGAGTCAGAATTAAGATATTATCAAAAAACCACTACCTCTGCAAGTTTTTTCTAAGATACTAGGAAAAAAAAAACCCCAAACCCAATAAAAACAAATCACCACATCACATTACCCCACAAGAAATAAACAAACCCAAGCAAAGTGCAAGCCTGCACCCTGTACAATTCCACGTGCACCCAAACTGTCTATTCTGTTATCAACAGAAAGGGGAAGCTCCCACATGATGAGGGCTTAAAGTTTCCTGTTCTACCTGAAACCAACTGACTTTTTATTTGAATACAAGTCCACTGAGCAACTTTCTAGGGAACATGAGTATCAGAAATTCTAATGAAGTGTTTTCTAGAGTATCAGACTGAAGGTTGGCTTTGTTTGGTTGTTTTTCTTTAAATACTTAAACAAAGAAAATTCACATGAAGAATCCTAGCTACTCACACTACTCCTACACATGTGTAATCTTTTAATCCTCTCAAAAACAAAGTGTGAGCAGAGAATGTGAGTATTTGGCAAAGCATGATCCTGAAAACCATCAAAATACAACCTTTAATTTTCCAACTCTCCTTACAACTCAGTTTTTTCCACTTACACTGTAGGTAAGCTCTGAAAGTCTATCCATCTTTTATTTTGGTTTATACAGTAATGGAATTTCCAAAAAAACTTACATTTCTTAAAAATCTTCAGAGCTGTTTTAATTTTACAACTTTTAATGTACTACAGCTTACAATTTACACTTCTGATCAATTATTTTAACAAAAACTACCTTTAATAGGGTACACTCTTTCCAATTTCACCAGTACTGTGAGATAATATCTGTACTTATAAATTACTGTCACCACAAGAGGAAATATGAGAAACACAGAACACAACCCCTTTAAGGAGAGCTATAGAAGATTTTATAGTTCAACATTATCAAGGGTGATTCTAGTAAAAGCAAACTGTTTTGTTTCTTCTTTCCACTACAATGCTAAGGAATCTTTTAAAAACACTCCTATTTGATTATTGAATCCTTTAACTGTATGTCAAGCCCACAATATATGGAAATGACTTTAAATGATAAAGTTAAAAATTCTGATAGTGGTATATGGATCATTTACTAATGGTCATGACTTCATGTTTAAAGGGAACTGTTACCCATGAGAGACTTTTTGGAGTATTTGCTACTCCAAGCAGCAGCCCCTGAAACAAGGGTCTGAAAAGGGAGATGGGCTTTGCCACTGTATTTCTGACTCAGGTTAATATTCAAGTCACTGTTCAGTGAAAAATACAGTGAGGTGTTCCCCATGACTAGCAAAGTCCTATCACACCAGTAGGAAGCCACTTTGAAAACCCTATTATTGTTTGGATGGGCATATTCTGGCATTTTTCAGCATTTTCAGATCACTCATACTTAACTAAGTACAAGAAAATCCAAAACACCAACTGCAATATCACTGGCAACTTGTTCAGCTTCCCACAAGGATTATCAAAACAGTTTTTATCAGCAGCAAAACCAGAACTGACAGGGCTCAGCAAGTCTGAATTTCAGTTCAGCTCTCCCTAACAATGTTTGGTGAAATCATTCATATGTGTTGTGAAAAACCTGAGTCTTCAAAGAGCAAGTGACTGGTAATTGCCATCCTCTGGCACAAGTTCATGGGGACAGAAGGTAACAGCACTACAGGAAGCACAAATGGTACTGCAAAGCCTGGAGACCACCAGAACTTGCTGGTGGGCAGCCTTCCTGTCCTTCAGGTCTTCTACTGACCTTCTACTGTTCACAAGGTGGGGAAAACTGCACCATTTAGCATTATGTCAACTCCAGCTGAATTCCTCTTTTTTAAGTGGCTTTGAAGACAAATGGTATCTACCACAACAAGACTGCAGCAAAAAGTTCTCATGGTTTTAAGGTAAGTTATGTAGGTCCAGCCATCAAGAGCTCTACTTCAGGCAAAGAACTCAATCAGAACTGGAAAAAGGAATTAAGATGAGAACTGCCCTTGTGTTTTTCCTCTTATTTGATTGTCTTGGCATTTTTCACATTTTAAGACCAACTATCTTTTATCTCCCAATGTGTTTTTTCCAACTCCTCTTTGGAATTGCTCCCATTAACTCTATTGGTATTTTTTAATCTGTGCAAGTGCAAGACCAGTGCAATCCAGACTCTGCTTTCCAAGACAGCAAATTAGAAAGAAGCAGAGAGCCTACCAACAAATTCAAAAAAGTGAAAAGCCACCCACAAGTCTGCATTTCAGAATGTGAGCCAAACTAAGAGGGACAATAAATTGAAAAGAAATAGCTGAATGAACCAGAAAGAAGAAAAATGGGAAGGCCTATTATCTTAGAAATTGGGAGGTGTAATTTTCTTAGTCTGATACACGGTTGTTGAACTAAATACTCATTATGTATTTTCTGTAGAACTGATCATTTATACTGTGCCAAAATAAAAAATAAAGATAGTTATGTCTTGGCAAAGTCTTATCAGTACAGCAGAAGGCTGGTAAGAGGAATTATGCATGTTATTGATCTTAAATCTGAATGCTTTTAATATTCCATGAGAAAACTGAGTGCAGTTGGAAGATGGCAGAACAGGCACCAAACTCTCCCCTGCAAACAAAGATTCGTCCCAAGCCAGATGTGCTGTATGTGTAGTCAGACACTGGGGAAGCTCTGGCATTCCTGTGTGTCCTGCCCTCCATGTCCTGCAGTATCCAGGGCAGGACACCACAGACAGAACACAACCATGATTTAAAAGGTAATGACACCTTCTGCCAGTGTATAAAAACCACATCTCTCTCCTTATACACAAAACAATGAAATAATCAACTTAACCAGCACACTGATTTCACTTTTATAAAAAAAGCTACCAACAACATATAATCTGCAGTTTAAACACAGCTCTAAAGTGCTGCAAAGCAAATATTATTTTAAAAAAGGCACAGGATAAATTATAGCTAATGATGATGCTTTAGTATAGTAACTGGAAACACAGAAAGCAAAGCACAACGAAAAAAAATCATATGTAATCTGAAGAGAATTGGAAAACAATTACCAAACATAAAAAAATTAGCTTCATAAAGTAGATAAAAGTGAACTTCAAAACAGAGGAAATGTACTTGATAATATTCAGAATGAAACATTTAAAAGTTGCTGTTTCCCAATGATCAGAGACATCTCATTTTTGTAAAGCTGATTACTAGTCTGAGTACCATGAAGTGCCTAAAAACAACACAAAATTTCAAGTCTGTTTCTCAGCAGTATTTGGTTCAGAAGACATGACTATGCATTTCAATTTTTTTTTTGGGGTAGAAGCCCTCATCTCATCCAGCAAAACAGACAAGTCTCCTAAAACACTCCACTGTGAATGTGGAACAGAAAAAACAACAGAAAACCCCCAGCACACTTACCCATTTTTTTGTAGTACTCCTCCCAGGCCTTGGTATAGTCAACCTGCCCTGCTGGTGCTGGATTTGGCTGATCTCCTGAATTACATTAAAAAATGTTAAACTAAAATTACTGGGGTTTGTTTCATACATAATCCAAATAATAAACCACTGAAATACGTGACATGACTCAAATCTGATGCTATAAACCTTTGTGATACAAGCTACTACAATTACAAACTACTAGTAAAAAAAGACATGTTTTCAAGATTCAGGAAGTGCAAACCACTGTCAATTCAAAATACCAAAATTCAAGTGGTAAGCCTCAGACAGGCACAAAAATTAAAATAATACAACTACATACCACAACTGTAATTGTCCTAAACCCACTGGAAGTGATGCAACCATTTAAGGAAATGACAATCAACAGCTTAGCTCATTACATTTTTACTTATGACTGCTCTATGTAGTCATTAAGTCAGCCCACATTGCAGCAAAATTCTCTTTGGAGTATATTCCAACATAAATACATTACCCTTGTTACTGCTGAAACTGTGAAAAGCCATATTGAAGGCTACAAGCAATAGTTTTCAAGAAAACCAGCTGCTTAAAATAAATTTACCTGACACAGGAGGACAACAATAAAAAGTAATGTGGTATTTACACCTCCAGCAATGAGAAATGTGTCCCTTTCACTCAATATCTACCTTGTCCATTGGTTTGAGTTGTAGCTGGTCCACCAGGAGGGGCTGCAGGTGGTGGCTGTGCTTGCTGCTGGTAATAGTGAGCATAATAAGCTGCCCACGCAGCTGAATTGGGATCTGTTCCTGGCTTACCTATGAAAACAGAACACAAGCATTTATAACAGCACTACTATGAACAGAATGCTGTCCTCAATTAACCCTGTCCTAGGCATTCTTATTATCCTCCAAGGAAAAATCCATCTAAACAAAATATCCATGTACATCCTTCTAGTATTTTTTCTTTCTAGCATAAACTTTTGATCAGGTTTAAGATCAATGCACTATACAAACTGTACTTTCATAGAGCTGGAGAGATAAAATAACTTTAGAACCTTTACTACTACAATGCCACTTATTAATCTTACACGTGGTAAATAGAAACAGATTTCTAAAGTTTAAATAAACAGTCATGTCAATAAATGGAGGCAGCAATGAATCACTCTAGCACCAAAGGATTTCAGTGGTTTTACTTTTGTTAGAACCTCACGCTAATGACACTGGCACCGGTGGAGGAGGCATGCCAAATACATATTTCTGAAACAGAAGAATACAAGACTTACTAGGTGTTTGCAATGCTTGTCACTTAAACTTTAAGGTAACAGTAAAATAGAGAAACACACAGCATTTTAAGAACCTGAATCCACATACATGGCTATTAAACATCACTGTTTACTTACAACTTTTTAGTATAAAAAACAATAGAAACAGTTGCATCTTCTGCATCTATCTCCATGATTCATTATTTGTATCTACATCTAGGTAGGCCAATGATGCTGCTTCCTAGGGTTTTATTGCTCTGTTTCTCACATTTAGCCTTTAGGAATGGCTTGTTCTTGCTGATCACAGATTAATTACAAGACTGGCAATTGACAATACCTGAAAATCTACTATTAGAGAAAATAATACATTTTACACATCCAGCATATAATTGCAAACAGTATTTGCAGTCTTAAAGAATAAAAGTATCTGCAAAGAAACTCATCCAAGTGAGGAGAAAATTCACAAAAGGACACGGACACAACTGATACTTTAGAGTAACTATACATGGGAATGGAAATACAATCCTCCCTAAACGTGAAACAGGTAAGGCAGTGAGTAATGGAAGATGAAGAATTCCCCTGAAAAAGGCATTCAAGAAGAACCCAGAGCAACAAATTTATGCTAAACGAAATCCTGTGACAAAAGTCAGATGTAATCACTTCAAACGCACACAGAAAAAAATGTTAACACACTACTTTCTGTTTAAATTGCACTACTTCCATCAACAATAGTGGATTTAACTTAACACTTCCTATATTCTAAGGTTACCTGCAAATATCAAATAAGCCATTGCTCAATTCCTCCCCCTCCTCCTTAGCTACTTTAATTTCCAAAGAAATTTGACTGTAGTAACTAGCTCCACTTTCACATGACAAGGGCAAGCACAGTTCTGGAGAAAGCACCTCTGAAAAAAGTACTGAAATAACCCATTTGTTACACTGGAATGAGTAACTAAGTGAAAACTGTAGAAAAATCATTCAAATAAATGCTAGTCAAAAGAAACACCAACTTCAACTGCACATATGAGAACTTCATTCAATTTTTAAGAGAAGTGTTCATAAAAAAAACCAGTTACAGAATCATCAAGATGACATCAAGGGAGTATTTGCCATTGTTTCTTACCCAGCCTTTACGTAGATAAGTGAAGAGTAAAAAAGGTGGTGTGAAACAGGCTGTAACCTTTTAGCAGTGGTTTTGCATGAAATACTTTGCTATGCTGATACTGAGTCACTTTGAGCCATTCTATTTCTAAATGAAATCAGCAGCATTTTAAACACTGAACTGAGCACATGCAGAGCTACCTTGTGCACCAGTTTGGGAACTAAAACCAGCAAGGGCTCTTGGCAAAGATAATGTGATACAGACATGGAGTCCCTTCTCCACTAACAGAATCCATGGCAGGAACAGTGGCTACCATAAAATGTCTGTCATTGACAACAAAAACAGAATTGTGATCTTTTGGCACAAATTGTGAGGAATTACAATTCCACCTCAAACCAATGAGGTACAACAAACTCAAGCATCTAGCCTTACCATGCCTTCTGTGGCTGATGTTCCATTTCCCCATATCCTCTAGTCCAACCAAAGGATGTAAACTTTAAGAAAAGCAGGATGCTACAACTTTGGAAGTTGTAATTAAGTAAGAAAGAACTCCCAATCTCGACAAAGATAAACAGAAATAGAAGAAACAAATTCTACAAAGATAGGTTTCAGAAGAAAATACAAAACTATGATAAGCAAAAGCTCAAAATACACAACCCTAACTAGTTTTACTCTATTAACAGCAATTCACCAAGGTTTTAGCCCTCAAAAAGGAGTAAACAAAATACACTGGAGCATCAGACTCCTAAAATTGCAACAGAACAAAACCTAGAAATATCATGGCATTAACTGCAAAAAGACAAATCAGTAAAGACTGTTTAAAATAAAATACAAAAGTCATTTACTATTAAAGACAGCCTTATTACAGAACTTTATGCAAAAGCATTGATTTTAAGAAAACTGAATTGCACAAAATCAGTGAACCAAGACTCGCAGAAAGTATCATAAATAGTGATGCAGTATCGGTAACATTTGTAAAAAAACATACTCCAACTGTAACAATTAAATTTCAACATTTCACAAGGCACATATGGAAAGTGCAAAACATAAGTAAAGTGACAATCAGTGAAAAAAAGCCAGAAGAAACAGGAGCTTTTCAGCTTTAGGAGTGTAACACAAGTAACTGTACAATGCATATACTTGTAAGGACAGAATGGATGTACCTGAAATATTCCAACACTACAGTACAGCTGTGCATCTCTTACCTGGGTCCGGTGGGTTTGGTGGCTGCCAGTGTGGATAAGCATTTCCCCATCCCTGTGGAGCATATGGAGCTGGAGGACCACTGGAAAAGATCACACACAGAGTGAGAGGCAGCCCCAGGGTCACCCCACACAGAGCAAAGTCAGCTGAGGCAATACTCACTGAGGGGCAGGACCAGGAGGGCCTGGGTTGTAAGGAGCTGGGTTGTATGGTCCCATGGGAGCACCAGGACCTGGGGGCCCAGGAGGTCCATGTGGGCCAGGAACAACACCATGGGGACCATGGGGAACCGGGGGACCCAATGGATTCACTGGACCCTGTAACAAGGGTGGGACACAGATGAAAATACACCTTGAGATTCTCCATTTTCCAGCATTTTAAAAGCATTTGTCTAAACACTCAAAGAACATCTAAAAGGTTTGAAAGACACTTTCCTGCAGAAAACAGGCTATTTAAAGTTTGATTAGGCTTAGAGGTAGTTAGAGGCAGCTGTGGCAGTAATAGCAACTAAAAACCTGCATTTATTTCAGCTCCTTCTTGAGGAAGTAAAGGATTTTACAAAAAAACCCAGATTTTTCCACAAGTTGCACTTAACTCCCCACACTCTAACAAGACTATCAGTTCTAAAATAAATCAATACATCTAAACCTGACTAACTAAACCTGCTCATATGATCAGGCACAAAAAGCTTCTAGTAAATTTGATGACATGCACACACAGGCAAACAAAAACACTGTGAAACTGAAAGTGTAACTTTGGTTGGAATTTTACCCAAACATACTGGGACTGAAAAACAAAACATATCACTGACATCTTTGAACTTAAGAATTTTTTCATATACACAGAATTGGCATTTTCAAGAGCACACTGTAAGATGCTGAAGAGAAACGGCTTCCATTTCAATATTTTGTTATATTCCTTTAAATCCAGATGACCATTATTATCAATTTATTATCTGATTAATTTAATCTGGGAAGTGAAAGGAAAGAGCAATCTCCACAAAGGAGACTTGCTTTCTGCTCTAACAGTAAACAAAAAAGCAGTCAGTTATCCACTCACTCCAATCTTTTCCTCTATAAGTTGTCGTGCATAATCTATTTGCTGGGGTGTCCCACGGATAGTAAACATCTTCATGTTTGGATCTGCATTAGGTGGAGGATTTCTCTGAAGTTCTATTCTAGCACCAGACTGTTGGCTTATACTTTTAATAGTTTCACCACCTGCAACGCAATACAGAGTTTTTATGATGTGCATCAAAGCAAAAAATACTGATTCACATCAGAGAAAGTCAACTGCATGGAAGCCAAAAAGACATGAAAAGGCACCTATTCTTATGAGCTGTTTAAGAACATTCCAAAAATTCAAATAAAATCTCTTCAGAGTTGCACAGAGCTTTAATGGCAATAAACAAGTAAAATAAATTTTTAAAGGGTTATAAAGAAGTTACTCAAAAATGTCAGCAAAGAATTCCTACAATCTTGTATGTATTTTTAAATTTATGTAAACATCTAATTTTGGACATTAATATCAACTGACACACATGGTTATCAGTAAATATAAATTTATAACCCAACCTCCCTATAAAAAGGGCAAGGAAGCCTAAATGACAAAAAAGCCCCACAGAGGCTGACAAGGTAACTGGCTCCTTCTCTTACAGGATCCAGATAAGTTATGTGTACCATTAATATATATACAAAGTCTCCAAAACAGGGGAAATTGGACAATTAAAAATTTTTACAAAATCATAGAAACACAAAATATTGTGAGTTGGAAGGGACTCACAAGAAACATGGAGTCCAACTCTTTAAGGGAAAGGCCCATATGGGGACTGAACATATAAACTCAGCATTATTAGCATCATACTCATCTTACATCTCTGTAGCATGGCATTTGTCCAAACACAGAAGCTGAGTGGTTTTTAAAGTAACATACCAGGTACATGTATAAGATATATTACCTTTTCCAATGATTAATCCAGTTTTGCCAGTAGGGACAATAAAATTGAACTCCTGTAATCCACCAGGAGGCCCCATGTTCCAGTTGCCTTGGCCTCTACCCCTTCCCCGACCACCAGGTCCTGGCCCACCAGGGTTACCAGCCTAAAGAGAAGCAGCAACAAATGAGCATGTTCTATAAAATTACTGCAAACAAATAATATAAACAAGTTATATTACATCACTGTTAAGAAAGAACTGATTCGCTACTCAGACAATTTTGGTAGTTGAAGCAGAACCTTTATGGAAGGCCTAAATTAAATTCTAAATAACATTCTGTACAATTCTGCATATGAAAGATGAAGGAGGAAAGGATAAAGAAGCAAGGAGAAATTTCACACATACAAAGATGTCATTTTTGTCTGCCTTCTGTAAATGCAGCAGGGGGGCTCATCTAACAACAAGCTTTTAAACACTGATTACAACCAAAAGTAAGAGCATATTAGCTATTAACACAAAACAAGGACCAGCTCTAAAACCAGACACATCAAGAAATGCCAGGACTTTGAATCAGTATGGTCACTTGCAGAACTGTAACTGTAAACATTCATATTCCAGACCAAACTTTGAAGTAGATTCAAATGGCACAACTAAATTATTTTTTTCTAGTTACACACAATTTTTTGAAAACTTTGGGTCTTTCCAAAAAGTGGGCAGGAGATTTTAAACACTGAACAACGTTACCCAACCTGAACACTGCGAAGGAGATCTGTAATTATTTCTGCAGCATGCTGACATCTGTCGGGAGGCCCTGTGATCTGGGCTATTCTATCTGGAGTTGTTCCATCATCTGGAATAAAAACAAACTATTCCAGTATATGCAATTCAGTAAATTCACAGTAAAGTCACAAAAACTTATGAACATGTTACAAACCTGGCTTGAACTGGATCCTAACACCAGCATCATTCTGGATCTTCTTAATCATCTCTCCATTTCTTCCAATTACAATACCTACAGCAAATCGTGGTATTGGAACCTAAAAAAAAAACCAAACCCAAACAAGATGTTGATGACATAGATATTACTAAAAAAATCCACATAATGAAAGGGTTAGAGTTGTTAAGTAGGGCAAGACCAATGCCACTTCAGGCTTTTTTAAGGATGGATTTTTTATTATCAAGTCACAAGCCTAGCACATACTGGACTAAACCATTAAAAAGAAAGTGATCCTATGCTTTAGAAGTTCTCATAGTGGTGGCAATTGCAGAGGATTTTATGCCTCTCAGAATAAAAAAGAAAGAAAGAATTTATATAGTATCTAAAAGGCAGATTCCAGCAGATGAAGCTTTAAGCCTCTCCCTGATGAAGTTACTAGCTTGTGACTTGCATTAACAGCTGGCCTTAAATAAGATCTGTAAAGGCCAAACTCAATTTTTAATAATGTTGTAACATGATATACTTGACCATAAAATTTACTTGCTTATTTGATAAAAAACTCCAGCTACTTGAAATTATTCATAGCTGCTGGCAATGTAAAGTGAATGCTGCACATAATTTAGTGTTGTAAATCCAGCAATGATCAAGTAATACTTACATGCCATAATCAACTTTTGAAATCTGGTTAAAAGCTTTCAGTGGTATTACCCAATTTAACATTTCAAAGTGAACATCTCAAAATACAGTGAACAAGTTTTTCAACCATGCTTACGTCTATCCCTTCATTTCCTCCTATTCTTGACCCATATTCGTTGCGCACCTCTCTAAAGCCACCTTGGTCGCGAATTAACTCCAGCACCATTTCCTTGGCTTGCTAAAAGAAGAACAGAAGTTTGTTCAGGTACCGCAACATCCAAACAGATTTTAAAATGCATTTAATTGTGAGGCACCTCTTACCTGAACTTTATAAGGGTCTCCAGTTATCCTAAGGGGCTTGTCTGCACCAGTGTTCTGTGGGCCATCCTGAATCATGACCATTTTGACACCTGCCCGCTCCTATTTGACAAAACGGAGGTCAATACTCACTCAAACCCACATTCAGAACCAGCATATTTAAAAGATGATACATATATACCTGTAATTGTTTAATTGTCTCTCCACCTTTCCCAATAACTAATCCTGCTTTACTTGCTGGAATCATAATTTCTTGGACTGCATTTCCAGGTCCATCACCATGATGAAATCCAGGTGCAGGTCTTCCCTTTTCAACTATCTGATCAAGCAATCTTTTTGCTGACCTGTGAAAGAAAATACACATTTATAAATGTGCATCCCTGCAAGTATCTCTTGCCCCTATCTATTCTGCTTGGCAATTTTTAAAATCTGAAGTTTCTGCAAAAGAATTATGGTTACTACCACTAAGAAATATGAAGCAACCTCAATCAATCTGCAAAAGTAAATTAAACTAACTGCAAAATAATAAAACCACCCCAATATTGGAATTTAAAAGATGGTCCTTTACCAATTGTATTTAATGAAGTTACCTCCTCTAGGTCTCTGAATACAGTTACACTCATCAAAGCTTAATTCAGAACAAAAGCTGCTGCTTGATTCAGCATGCAAAGTAAGGTCATTTGTACTTGTACTTGTAACCACTACAAAAATGGACAAAAGCAAGTATATATTCACCACATGTGTCAGGTCAGCTGCCATGACAGTAAAATCATGATTACAGTCCTGGTATCAGTTAAAAACACTTACTGAACAGACTCTGGTGTCCCAGTTAGCATACATGATCTTTCAGGCAGGCCTCCACTATCTGCAAACATAAAATAAAGCCAACTTATCAGCAGTGTTAAATCAGAAAGAGATTATGAAATTAACCATAATACATAAACTACTGGATTTTCATACTCAATGAAGTAGAATAATCATTGTATCCCATTTTGCATTTCTTTAGCCCTTCATAGTCATGATTAGCACAAAAAAAATTCACTTGTATCTTAAATGAAGGTTCAGGCAATGAGAAGCAATGAGCAATGTTCTCATGACCTCCTACCAAGCACCTCCCCATTCCCCCAGACAGACAATTAAACCCCCCACATAACAAAGAGTTACCAGGTGCAATCTGTATTTTGCAGCCAGACTCCTGCTGTATGCGTGAGATCTGCTCTCCACCTCTGCCAATGACTTGGGGAAAGAAAACACAGAAAGGTGATTTGTACCAAGAGCACCTGCCAACATCCCCCACCATGGCACAAGAGCACAGCCATGCTACTTACTGAATCCAACCATCCCATCTGGAACTTTGTACTCCTCTGTCATCACAGACCTACAGCCAATGGCAAACAAAGTCATGACCATGCAGAGAACAAACCAGCATCACACTTACATTTATCCTCCCATTAAACTAAAGCAAGCTACTGCCCCACCATCAGCCTGGCTTACTTGCCTCCCAGTAACTTTAAAAGTCATTATGCAAGCACAGTTCTACATAAGCTGGCAACACACAGAAACAACACAAAAAGTTCAAGTGTGGAACAAATCAGTCAGAAGTTTCCTTCACTATCTATTAACAAACATGCAGTACAGAAAAGGTTACTTTTCTGTAGCATTTTAAGTTTCATCTGTATACCATCAAAGGATGTTGCAAATTTTGGTATCTCAGAAGTGTCCAAAGCACAAGAATAACAGCTGGATGTAGTTGTTTAGGTAAAAAATGAGTGGAGACAACAATGAAGTTGTAGTCTGAATTATTTTATTTGGTTTTAGATCATTCAGCTTTGCTTTTTGTTTACAAGATGGCATCACCTTTCTCTTCAGATCTGCTTCCAACTTCTAGCTATGCTACCTATGCTGAAGTAGAAAAAGCAGCCAGTATATTTTCCTATTACTAAGCCAAATCCACAGCCTAGGCCGTGGAGAAAGAAAGGGAGAGCAATGTAGGTACACTTTAACTGTCTGACGTGGGATGTGCTAAAGCTGAACTTCAACCGATCACAAAGACAGAATAAATGCTTCCTGTGTTGATACAATTTTCTCAGAAAAATTGCTTGAAACTGCTTTGTTTCAATAAAAATCCTCTCTAAGATGTAGTGTAAAACCCTTACCTTTGCTGCTGATGCATCGGTGGTAGCTGATTTCCAAAAGCTAGAAACAAACATTGTTGAAATTAAATTCAAACAAGTGGTACAGCTTACAACTAAGCTTTTCCTTTGATAACAAAACTCAGTTGTACCAAACTTTTGTCCAAGTTTACTTTTAGGAAGTGCTATCAAAAGGTTTAAAAGCTATAAAGACTCTATTGTTGCTGTCCCCACTGTCAGTTTTACCAAGCAGACTCAACAATGCTGCTTCAACGATGCAAGACAAACCCCCAGCCACATTTTGGATCTCACTTCTTCAAGTGTCACCTACCAGAACACTTTCAAACTGTTGTTCTGACAATGTTACACTTGTTTAGGTTTTTTTGGCAACAAAATAAAAATTACTTACAGTCATTCTGGGGAGCAACTTTCTTAGCATCTGGTTGATCTGCAAAATTAAGATTTTTTAAATTTTTTTTGCCAAGAAATTCAGGAACTCTTTAAGCCTTTTAGTGTGAATAGTAAATTTCCAGTGCATTTTAACCCCCCTTTTTTTTTTCCTCTCTTTCTTTTTCCTCCTCCAATTTCAGGGAGTTGATCATCTGAATAAAAGAAAGAATCTGACCAGCACTCAGCACTTGGTTAGTATAGCTGAAAAGATGTTAGGTTTTTCCATGTATCTCTCAGTTTAACAAAAGGCAGCTTTCAGAACGCACTGTGTGTAGATAGCTCACAGATACCCAGTCACTGAAACTCAACTAAGACAAGGAACAAAGTCCAGCTTTGTTGGCTGCTCAAGCTAATGATGCTTCTATAGTAAAAAAAGAAAAAAAAAATCAAATCCATACAAAAATCAACAATAACTTAAAAAATAATTCAGACAATGACCACAAATCTAGACCAAACATCTGAAAATACAACAGTATCACACGGCAATGCAATCTCAATCTGAATGTTGATATGAAATCCCTATCCAAATATCAAGCATTTCATAGTATAAAACTTCAAAAAAAAAAAAGGCAAATTCACAGTAACTACATCACTATTGTCCAAATCCTTTTTGTACAGTAGAGAAAAGGCATCATGAACCTGTATCTGAAAAGATAACACTTCAGATGCTTCCTTCCCACCCCAAAATAAAGGCTACATGAACCACCATAATTTATGTGCAGCAAAAACTCAGCCACATATTCCAAGAAATATTTGTGTCAATCCAGAAAGATCCACTAGTTTATGTCATGTTTACATACTAAACACAGGTAATAAATAAAAATTCCTGCCTTTAAAAGGAGAGGGCATTCCCTCCCAGTGTGTTGTACTGCTCGGACTTGTCCAAGAGCCATCTACACATAAAATAAAAAGAATACATTACATATATCATCTGAAGCATCATTAGCTCATTTTTGTATATTAAAAACCTCACCTTTAATAGAAAAAAAAACTTTACTGTAGGACACAAGAAATCCTGATATAAAGCCTTAGTTACATTCTGTAGACTGAGTTTCAATCCTCTTAAAAGAAAAAAAAAAGGCATTTCTCTTTTGTGAGACCTATGAGAACATTTCAGCGAGTTCAAAGATTTCTTCCTGTAATTTAGATAGGATTTGGTGTGTATATTAACCATATCAAACCCTGCTAAGTTCAAAGTGGATGCTCTGTAAGAGACAGAAGAGGACACACACATATTTCAGGAGAAAACTTTACTGCAGTGCAAGGCAAATCGAAAAAGCTGCAACAAGTCAGAGGATTTAAGTATGATCTTATCAGGGTTCACACGTGCTGTAGGCTGAACTATTACACTATACAAAAATGTCTTCAAGGCAGAAAATTTACTTTCCTGTGTTTTTTTAAAGTCTTATGCTTTCACAATGAAATGCATTAATACTTTTATTTGAAAGAGTGCAGCAATACAGTTAATGAAACAATCCAGCACTTCCTGCCCTAATTGCAATTTATGAGTTGTAACCAATCCCACAAAACCACAAAAGACTTCAATGACACCTGCATAGGCATTCTGCAACCTGAATATTTCTGTCCCTTTCCCCAGCATGCATTTTTCTATTTGCAGCACTTATACCACATTTAAAATACTGTAAAATAGTCTTACATTCACTTCAGGTTAGAGCACAACGATTTAAAACTTCCCCACTAAACTGAAAATGAAAAAATATGTCACGATCTATGAAGGGAACAAAATGTTTGAATGCTCTGCTATGGAAAAAAAACCCGAATCCACAATCTTTCTAGCACAGTGGCCACGCTCCACGAAAAGAAATGCAGCAGGAATGAGTGCGTACCTCCATCCTCGAGAGGTCTTTTCTGCCCTCCATAACCGTAGTCGTTTGAATTCATTGCTGTGCCAGCATCTCCTCCAATTTTCGCTGCAATCTAAACAAAAGGCAGATGTGAGCCAAGGAAAAAAAGTAATTAATTCGGCCCATGTTCATTCCACGTTTTCTAAAAGGTTTCAGGGATTTAAACAACGCGCAATAAAAAGACCCCAAACCATTCAACAAAAGGCCAAAACCAGTTTTGCTCATAGAGGTTTTCTTTTGCGATTTAAAGACTTGCGCTCATCCTTCAGCAGGAAAGCCGCCTCAATTTTCCTCAGCGACAAAAAAATTCCCAACCGAAAACTTGGCCTTAAAACACCAAAACCTTTTTCCTACACGGGAATTTTCTTTCTCTACGCCTTCCTCGCCAAACACCGCGGTATCTCACGGCAAGGCCTCACCGGCCAAACAATTTCAAAACCCGACCACACCGCGTCCTCTAATACTGCCAAAACCGCGAGCGCTTATTAAGAGGCAGGGCGAACATTTCGCCCGAGAAGCGACGAAAACATGGCCCGTGGTGCAGAAGCCGCAAATAAAGCTGCGGGATAAAGAGCTTCCGCAAGGGCGGCCCTGGCCCCGCAGGCCGCCCAACCGGTCCGAGCAGGCTGCGGGCGCCGCGGGCAACACAGCCCGGCCCGCGCCGCGGAGCCGCCGCCCTCCGCCCGTCCGTCCCTTCGCCGCGCCGGGCCCGGCCCGATAACGCGCCGCTACTCGCCCGCCGAGATTTGCCCTCCCCGCCGCCGGGGACGGAGCCCGCGGGGCCGCTCTGCTCACCGCGATTCCCCTCGGGCCGCTCCCGGCGCCGTTCGCGGGCAATGGCGGAGCGGGGCCACAAATACCTCGCGGCCCAGGGCGGGCGGGTGGCGCAAAGGGGGCGTGGGGACGGGACAAAGCTCCCCCCAATTCACACTCACACACACACACACTCACACTCTCATACTCACACACACTGGCGGAGGGGCCCCGCTCCCTGCAGCCCAGTGCGCAGCGCCCTCACTGTTCCCGCGGCTCCGAGACCGCGGCCCCCAGGCCCCGGGACCCCATTGATTCGATGGAGCCACACACACCTGCCTAGCCCTCTGCAGCGCGTCTTTAAAGGCATCGTTCACTCCTCCAGCCCCGCCGCCACCTCCCCCGGGCGCGCCCGCGGCAGGAGGGGGCACCGTGGAATAGTCCGCCATGGCCTCCCCGGCGCCGCTCCGGCCGCTGCCGCTGTCTGCCAAGAAAGAGAGAAAATGGCGGCGGGCGCGCGCCTTTCACATTCCTGCGCGGCATCGTGCTCGGGGGGAGCGCGCCGAAACCTCGCGAGAACTCGGGCGGGATTTCATTGTGGGCGCCGGAGAACGGCGGAGAAGCCTCGCGGCGTTTCTCCCGGCCCCGCCCAGCTGGCCCCGCGGGGCCTCCCGGGCCGCCTCGCAGGGGGTGGGGTGAGATCGCGATGTTTCCACGGGAGGCGCGAGAGCTTGCAGACGCTGCTGATAGGGCCGGAAAAGTCACGTGGGGCGAAGTGAGGGCAGCGCGTGGGGGGGTGGGGGGAGGCAGCGCGCAGTTCTCGCGTCATTTGCTGTGGAGCCGCGGGTGCGCGCGGAGGAGCGGAGGCTGCGCTGCGGGGGCTGCCGGGAGCGCGGTCGGGCCCGGGCTGAGGCGGCGGCGACGCTCGGTGAGTGCGAGGGGCGCGCGGGACCGGCCCGGGGCTGCGGCAGCGCGGCCTGCCCGCGCCGTACTGCGCTTTAGGGGTGCTCTGCCTTCCCGGCTGCTGCCCGGGCTGTGGCGGTGGCAGCTGGCGGCGCTGCCCTGGGCTGAGGCGGGGTCCGGGGCGCCGGGCTGTCTTCCCGCTGGAGCGCGACGGTGCCCCGGGGAGAGGCTCCCGCGGTGCGCGGCCGCCGGGCGTTGTCACAGACAATAACGCGAGCGCCGTTTCCGGGGGAGCCGCCTCGGCGCCTGGTGGGGCAGCCCGGGCGGCAGGGGCGGGGGACGGCTCGCCGGCCGGTGCCGAGGCGGCGGAGCGGCCGAGCCGTTGGGCTGGGGGCAGGGCCCGCAGCCGGCCCGTCCCGCCGCTGCTCGCGGCCCGCTGCCATCCTGCGGGCGCGGCCGCTCGTTTCGAACGGATTTTTGGGTCGTTCCACACCCCGCGAAACGGGACCAGCTCTCTCCTCTAGCGGAGCTTCGCTTGCTTCGTCCTGCGGTTGTCCATGGTTATTTCATAGCCGAAAATGTTCGTTGTTGATGTACGATCTTTAGAGCTGGGGGATTGTGGTCTTGGCTGCGCAAGCACAAGCTTTAATGAAAAACTGGAGTGTGTAATGCTTTAATCTGGGTCCTGTTAAGGTCCTGTGACCCGGTGGGGATGAACTGTCGTGCTGAAAAGGGATGATGGTGTTGTAAAGGCTTCACATCAGGATAAGGTCGTAGAACATCTCCTTAGGAATCCTAGCAATAGACACTGCATAATACCGGAGCGGAACGGCTGTACGACGGCGTTCTGAACCATTCTGAGGAGATGCCTTACAATTTTTAAAGAATATTTCTGTGCATTCAGCTGTTCCTTTTTCATCACGACATAAATGTCATGCCTTGTTTTAAAGCATACCTGCTTTGAAAGTGAAGCGTGGCAGATCTCTTCCAGCCTTAAGTGAGTGTGGTCTGTTTGTGGTCACTGCTTTTACTTGGGAAACTGTTGTTTTGGGCTTGGTCTGGTTTGGGGCTGTGTGCGGGGACTCTTGGATTCGCTTAAGAAAATAGCTCTCAGTGTTTTCCCTCCCCTGTCCTTCAGTGCTGCCTTGTAGTTCCTTGCTGCCTTAAGGCGATTATAATTGGGATGAATTCAATAGACTATAAGTCACAGTGTTGCTGAGCTCAGATTATCCTGCCTTCTCTAGTGCAGGTAACTTCACTAAAGGAAGCTAAAATTTGCTAGATTTTTAACTCCCATAATACTATCGACGTAGTGCAGTTAAGAAAGGTTATAAGAGTAATATATTCCACGAAGTTAAAAATTCCTATATGTTTCTAGGCAGATGACAGTATATTGCTACAGCCAGGTGAAACTTGCTGCCATGAGACTTTTGCTGCAAAAGCCTGTACATAAGAATTAGCTTATACTTTCCATTAATGTAGCTGTGTTAGCTGGAGGGATTGGGGAAAAAGTTAAATTACTCTTGGAGTGTGGGAATCTAATACTTATGCTTGGCTCTTTGCTGCTGTTGCTAAACACTCTTTGTTCATTCTTTTAGCTACTAATAGTTTGACTGTGTAGCAAGTAGTTACTTGTATAATTGGAGTTGAGCAATAGTAGTTGACTGTGACACATTGAAACCACTCCTGGCCAGTGGCTATGTGTTTTCTGGCTCTCTCCTGACTGGATGAAGGGCAGCATCGGTGTGCTCTGCCTTTTACAGTTACAAAATGTGCGGCTGTTTCTTTGCTAAGTTCTGTGGGACAAGCCAGTAGCCATGCAATGCTGGTAATTTTTAATCAGTCATAACACCTTGGGCTAATACAAACACTCTTGTCTGCTATGGTAAGTGTTCTAGTTGACTTCATAAACAACTGATGATAGGCGAATGTTAATTTTCAGGGGTTTTAATCAGCTTTTTGCTGCTCTTTGAGGTGATGCTTTATTTGAAGGCTGAGAGTGATATTTAGTATGTCTGTTATTCCTCGGTCTTCTCAGTTCTTGAAGTCACTGTAGGCTTTGCAGTCAGAATATGAGATTTAGCAAACTGAAGAGGAGAACGATCTCACAGTATTGTACACTATATAAATATTTTGCCTTTACTTTCACTGTTCCTAAGTTGATCTAATGACCTTTATTAACACTTTCATGTGTCTGTATTTCCCATGATGGCACTTATAACCTGTCTGCTAGAAAACCACATCTCTTAAGCACTCTCGTCTTCATTTCCCTCTATTAGATGATATTTCTGTTAAGAAAATTATCCCTAAGGGATTAATTCATTCTGTTTAATCTGTGAATGGAGTTGGGTGAGGATCCAACCCCATAACAGTGCTCACTGCAGTATTTGTTCGATGTTGCTGGCACGTTATCACAGCAGCATACAGCAGGATGTCCTGCCTTCTTGCAGGGGTTGCCTGCACTGCCTCTTTCCTCGATGCCTTCTAGGAAGTTCAGTGTGCTTGATGTAAGGAGTTGTTTGCTTGGGCTGCCAGAGCATGAGAGCATTTGTTGTGCAAAATAAGGTTCACTTCATGCAGTAACTACTCTTACTAAAGAAGGATGAATAGTAGGGAATTGAACATCTTACCTTTCAGAATCTAGATAGATAGATAGATAGATAGCTGGCAGTATAAGAAACAGATGAATATGGATTTTTTTTAAAGTCTCTTCACTGTTTCTTTTAGAGATTGGAGGCTGATGTCTCCCTTAACTGAATTTACTAGATTATGACATCCCCCATGGCTGTCAGGCCATAATGGTTTTTTGCAGTAATCATCAGACTAAAATATTCTACTAGATGTATTCACTGAGAAACAGTGAGTGTAAATACCTGACAAGTCAGAAAACCTTTTATTTGTGTGGGTTATCACAGATTTAAGTAATGGATGGTTTTGAGGAAAGAAGTAATCCTATGCTGTGTGTGAAAGAATCCTTTTATCAAAAGATCTTCAGGGTATTTCTATATTAGTTCAGGTATTGCAAAAGCATCAGTGTAAAAGTGTGGAACTGACACAAATCTTCTGCATAACCAAAGCCACTTCAGTGCATTGAGTTTTGCTGGGTTGATTGTTTTTTTTTTCTCTTTTACAATTCACTTCAGCTTTGCTCTGTGGTGACCAGACCAAAAGGTAAGGCTGTTCTGAAAGAAGTGATTCTCTGGTACAAGTAAGGAGGCATCTCACAAGGTCAATAAGTAAAGAATTACATTTCTCATGAAGCTGCCTGTGCAACCCCCTGGGACGCATGTTTTGTTTAGCTCTGCCTCAGTACCCTGAACGCCTGTGTAGAAGTGCTGATGTTCTCTGAGAGAAGGATGACCACTGTGACAGCTGTACCTGTGCTTGCCATGCTTTCTGCAAGGCATTGCTGCTCGGCTGAAATCTGATGATTTCCTCACTTTGGGAGGTGTAGATCAATGGATTCAGATCCTGTCAGCTGCTGCTCCTGCGCTGGGCAAAATGTGTCCAGGATCTGCAACATTATCAGTGGGAAACTCCCTTAAATAACTGCTGAGAGAAACAACTGTTGATCTGTCATGAGTTTTTTTATTTAATACATGTGCACTGAAGTAGTAATTACAGTTTTCAGATCCACAATTTGGGTAGTATTTGGATAACTTTTACATAGCGAGTTTGGGAGGGGAAAAAAATGTCATAGCTGGTGGTTTTGGTGTACATTTAGTCATTCTGCCTTTCCTAGAAAAAGGTTTTAGTATATCAAAACTTCATATAGAAGCTGAGTAAATGTAGACTCTTTAGAGCTCTTCCCTTGCAGGTTTTACTCTTGTGCATCTCGTTTGATATGTATTTGATTTAAAACTTTGGTTACCTTCCAGGAGGCTCTCAAATGGCATCAAGCCCCCGTTGCATTGGGTATGTCCGATGTAGGAGGATAAGTCAGAGAACACTCACTCCTTCCTTCGATACAGCTGCTGTGCAAAGAGACGGGATCGTTCTGTAGAGGGAATGCTGTGCCAAAGGCAGCTGGATAATATTAGTCAGCGTGATCGAGTCAGCAGTGCTCAGCACTGACTTGTTCCAGGGGATTGGGTGTTTTTGTGGCGATGTCATGGGAAAGAAAGCTTGGAGAGCACAGAGAATTTGCTGTAAGCATCTGAAAAATTCTTCCCTGATGGGGGAGAATAGTGAAAGGCCTTGCTTGAAGAGTTGGGCGGTGGAGCTGTCCTGGAAGTTGCATATGAATAGGGATAAAGAAAGGCTGAGGTGGGGACTGAGAGACTGTGAAAGGAGAGCAAATGATTAATGCAGCAGTGTCTGTAGAGGATGGAAGTGTCTTAAAATATCCCTCTGTCAGCAATGCACTGAAGAAAGTGCATTTAAGACCTGTTAATTAGTGAGTAAGTACTTTATTTGAGGCATAATTAATATTCAGAATTCTCTTCTTGAAGTGGGAAAAGCTTGATTACTCGAAAGCTTGATTGGCATACATCCTTATTACCCGGGCCTGATCTCTGGTAGTATTCTTTCTGATACTGTTTAATTAAGCTAACAATTGTACTTCTTAATTTGTGAGTCAGAGCATCTTCTTTTTAAACAAACTGTTGGTGTATCATAGCATACATTAAAAAAAACCCAAACAGGTAAATCTTTTCTGAGTCTGAATTCCGATAGTTTCTTAGTAGAATAGATACTGAAATTTGGTATCCCTTCAGAACACCTAGATATTTTCCTGCTGAGTTGTACCTTTCTTGTTGTACCTTCTTTACCTCTTAGCTAGCTATGCACTATTTAATCTAGAGGAATAAAGTAATTTAAGATATTAACTGCAAAGTAGCTGCTTTTTATCTTGAAACTTTCCTAGGCTGATGAGGAAGGGAAAAACCAGTTATGAAACATAACTTAGCTCTGGGATGTGGTTAAAACATTGCAAAGAGTAGTGAGCAACTATTTTGACTTCTCTTGCAGCAGATTGTAGTAAATATAACTAGGGCTGCTTGTCTTTCTGTCTCCTGTAGGTGAAAT